GGAGCAGGAGCCTATTCCAGTGGTCATTGGGTGGAAGACAGGAGCACCCTGGACAGGTCGCCAGTCCGACACAGGGCAGACCCACAGACACATACATTCACACACGCACTCACCACTAGGGGCAATTTAGCATGACCTATTGGCCTTGTCTTTGGACTGTGGGTGAAAACCCACGCAGACACGGGGAGAACAAACTCCACACAGAAAGGACCCTGGTAGCCCAGTTGGGGAAACAAACCCAGGCCCTTCTTGCTGTGAGGCGACAGCGCTACCCACTGCATCACCACGTATTTTCATGGGGCCCTTAGGCACCTGTCTGCTTCTGCCTAGTGCAAAGACCAAAATCCATGAGTGCGATGTTTATGACACACAGTCAAACAAGAGAACCATGAAGAGGAGTCGAACAGTGCTGCAAAACAAACAAACAAACAAACAAAAAAAAACACAGTCTTTAGTACTAATGTGAGAAGAACAGGCCTAGAGGGCAGAGTCATCAAAGCTCTCATTATTAAAGACAGGTTTGTTAGAGCTGAAAAACTGCATTAAGTTCTCTAGTATTAAGGTTTAAGTTTGAGGTTTATCCCAGCCCTCTGAATGGAAGGTCGCCAGTTAGATCGCCTGAGCCGACAACACGCGACTGAAGTGCCCTTGAGCAAAGCACCTAACCCCCAACTGCTCCCCATTCGCTGCGGATAGGGCTGCCCACCGCTCCGGGCAAGTGTGCTCACTGCCCCCTAGTGTGTGTGTCTCACTAGTGTGTATGTGGTGTTTCACTGCATGGATGGGTTAAATGTGAAAGTGAAATTTCCCCGTTGTGGGACTAATAAGGGTCTCTTAATCTTAAAAGCACTTCCAAAACCCTATAAACCCCTAGCAAACGTATAAATCAAGCATTTTAAAACATACGAAACGCTGAAGCAGAGTATAAACATTTTTTTATTTTTATTTTTGATGCAAGTTTAATAAACATACTGCAATGATAGAAGATAAATATTTACAATAGAAGTCGCAATAAAATAGCAGGAAATGCAGATTTCTCATAACCGCAAAACCAAAATGATCCCGTGACTCCCTGACGCCTCTTTTTTGGAGCATCGCAGACGGACGATCTGATCAGGATTTCTGCTTTTAAAGGGTGAAGGATATGAAAACAATACATCATCTCACACTCCTGAATGGTCACAGATCTCACGTGAGTATTTCTGATGAGAAATGTAGCGAAACGCATGGCCTGGTGTCTCTCACGAAGGACGTCCAGCTTAGACCAAGCACATGGAATCGTGGTTAGGTTAGTTTGCGATGCTGGTCAGCAGCTGCCTCTTTTAAACCAGGTCCAAATGCTCCAGCCAGGATTATTCCTCATGCACAGGCAAGTGTGATGTTTAGAACAAACAGCCAATCATGTGAGTCCAGCAGCTTATTTTTTAAAGATGGAAAAAGAAATCAACCCAATGAAAAGCGAAGCTGGCACTACCACCACCATGTTCGAGCTTATTAGAGTAAAGCTTGCTTTATAGTCTTGATATCCATGTTTTTATATATATATATATATATATATATATATATATATATATAAAATGATTGATGCCACAAATGAAGAAAGAAAAAAAAAAAAATGACACAAAAGGGACTGGAGGGGTCCACCTGCTTCGGAGGGCTGTCCTTGATTGGTCTAAAGCCCCTCCCTGATTGGTCCAACGGCGACCCATTGATGAGCCGAGGGTTGAAGAGTTCAGTGGTTAGAGTAGCAGAAACACTAAACTGGGCACTACTACAGCCATGCAGTGCTGGAATTACCTATCGCTGTGCTACTTAACATGGGATCAGTTAGGAAAACGTTATTTTGGTGTCTTGCACTTCAATTAAGGTGCTCTTTTTAGTCCAATATCATTTATATGAGTCCACAGTGGTTGCCCTGCTCCAACACTCTAAAGGATGAGTTGTTTAACCTAATCTCCATCTGCTGCATCTGTAGCATAGTCAGTTACCATGGATAACAATTTTGACACATTCCCTGCCCTGAGAAGAATATAAAATTAGTTGCATTATAATAGAAGCTAATATAGACATAGATTTACAATATTTTCCACTGTCTGGATCTGCTAAGATTTAGACAATACAGAAAGTAGGATTAGATCCATTGAACTAGCATTACAGAGGAATATAATATTCGTTTGTAGAGAGTCACAAATGCAGTAAAGCAAATAAAGTGCAGATATTTTAGCATAGCATGCCGGCATCAGGCACCTTTATTATGCTCTACTGAAGTCCAATAATCAATTATAGCTTCGTAATATCCATCAAATTTGTCCAATGCATATGTTTTTCAGAGCAATTATCTGCTGATACTAAAATGATTCTCATATCATTGTGTATCTCTAGCCAATGAGCAGATGCCAAAGCAATTGCTCATTAGCTTCTATTATGATCCATGTCAGCAGGTTGTCTGTTTTAAGTCCAGAGAAATGACCATCTACTGTAACAGACCACAGAGTTAACATTAAAAATGCTGGAGTATTTTTAAGGGCTTGGTAATCGGCTGTTATATTAGAGCAGGGCAAACAGTAGTGTGGACATTTAAAAGCAAATTCGAATACCTGTCGTCATGCTTGCTGCAGCCAACACTGCCTGCCTGAACTGCTTCCAAATTCAGTCAGGATAATGCAGGCAAAAAGCTGACCTCAGGTGGCCACAGCGAGGACTCTCTGTGCATCTCTGTCCAGTGCTTAGGGAGGCAACAAACGATTGTCTACTGAAGAAAAACACAGCACACAAACACACAGTGAAGCACTCAGGTGTGTCAGGCCGTCAACTTTAAGGTCCATTCAATTTGAGGGTAACTGCTCCATTTGGAAATTTTTAATTAATATCAATCCTTTCGGTCCAATCTGTTTAGCTATGCTGGTACATTCTCCACCATCGACCAGAAGGAAAAGCTGATGCAAAAGAAGAGGCTGGGGGGCTTAGGAGTTTACCTTCTTCAAACTATTACAGACGTGCCATAAACGCGCACACAAAGGAACAGACGGTAGACAAGGGTATGAATCCTGAAAAAAAATTTATCTGATCCAAATCTACCCTCAAACAGCATTCGCTTACACTGTATTAGCTATGTAGTTCTTTCTATGGGGTAGCAGAATGACTGCATACTTTTAGCAGACACTTAAAGATTCCATATCCCATATATGTATTCCTATCTGTGCGGCACAATGCTGAACAAGGCATAGTTATTTTTTAGGGCTGGGACGATAATCAATTTTGAAAACTAAAGAAATCCTGGATAAAATTACTGATGTTTTTATTGGGTATTTTACAGCAACATTCAGTATCTCTAGGAGTTTCCAGAGGGAGAGAAACAACAAAGCATGTAGGCCTTCTGACACAAAAAATAAGCGACAAGAAGTTTTGAAAAACGTATTAACACTAATGCAGTCTTTCACACCGGAGCTCACAGGCCTCATTTACACTTGGCAACAATGCCTGATCAGCGTGATCCAATCATGGTGACTGGATCATCATCTAACCGAAACACAGCCTTCGCCCTTCTGCATCGTATATTCAGATACCAAACTGACTGGATCATTTTCCCCACCACAAGATTTACATTTTTAAGAGTGTGGAGAAGAGTAGGCGGAGCCAACGCAGGCCATGCAGCATTTACTGCGTTATTGCAAAAAAAAAAAAAAAATTTAAAAAAAAATTCTTGCATTCATGATGCAGTACATTCTGGCAAAAAAAAGAAAGAAAAGACAGGGAGTTATGTACGTTCTACTTAGCATCCAGAGCTTAAGAAGAGTCAAAAGAAAAACATTAGCTTTTCAACACTTGCGTTTATAGGTCTGAATGCAGACACAAACGTCTACAAATGTTCAACGAGAAAGGTTCAATGCGGAACTTCGCTTTTCATTTCAGCGCTTAAATGTAAGAGCTTTTACACAGGCTGCACGAGCAGCGCAGCACAGCTTCCCAGAAGCAGCACATCTTTTAGAAGTCTGGCAAATAAGAAAATCAATGAAAAATAGTTAACAATTTATGCTACTTTTTCACTTCCCAGGAGGTCAACCAGGACTGACACAATCACTCAATCCCGTCAGAAAGCTGTAGTATTCTTTTGCTAATTATCTTTCTACTGACTTTATCCAGGTGTTAAAACGATGTCTTTAGAACTTGCTTGCTGTATCGCTGTGTGAACGACCAACTAGTTTGAGATGTGGAGGTCAAGCTGAGGTCACTCAGAGGTAGTATGTGTGAAACAGGCCTTTGTGAAAATAGTCAAGCTTTTAAATACATATATGGAAAACTTTAAGGTATGGATTTTAAAGCCAGGTGTAAACAGGGGCATGTTTGCTTGTGGTTTGTTCACTTCTTTTAATTCTCCAAGCTCTGAGCTGAAGCAGAGCCTCGAACCCGTAAAATCCGACTAGACCACTTAAATGTTGAACTAAAATTAAGAAAAAAAAAAACACTGTTTCTGATGCCGTTTCTCTCTGTGTGCTCACACAAAAAGAAGAAAAGTAACTCTACCAATCAATTTCATTGCCATTATCAATGAGTGGTCCCAACCCTAGTGAAGCCGATCATTTCTAGGCTTTACGATGTGTTCTCTCTCACTGGGTGCTGCAGTTGCAAGTTACTGAAGGTGATGTCATCTGTAAAATACTGTAAAACCAGCTCTGACAGGTAAAACCGGGGAGTTATCCGTGTTAAAACTGTTGAGAAAAAAAAAATGGTGCTTAAGTTTTCCAACAAACACCTCTTGGAATATATTGAAATTACTACTGGATGGGAAATAAAGTCACAATTCACAGCAGTATTTTTTTTTCCTTTTAAATATTTCTGAAATATATACACAAAGCAAGACACATAGCTTTTACTTTGAGGAATCTGTCCACGTCCGACAAAATCTGCCCACGGAATTAAAACTTCATGACCTCCGATTTTTCACACAGATACATTATCACACACTAAAAAAATGTATTAAAAAAAAAAAATTCAGCCAATCTGATCACACTTTTATTATTATTATACACCATCAGGAAGAGCGGCGTCATTCAGTTACAATCGACGTCCTGTTCACAACAGGCACAAAACCTCACCAACAAGCCCTCCACCAAATAACTCGCGGCCTTATTCAATACATCTCTGTGAATATACTTGCTGAAAAGCCGCTTCTGTCATGTACACAAGGCAGAATGCCCCTATATATAGTCGTTTAAATATCTGGAAATAAGCAACAGCAGAAACATACTATGCAAGAGGTTCACACACCTGTTCACAAGCATACAGCCCAGTCTCGTAGTCAAAAGGAGGGAAAAAAAAAGAGGGAAACTGAAAAAGGAATCTCAAATTAAAACAAAATTAATGAGGAGAAAAAAAAACACCACACATATACTTATAAAAGCCTGTGAGTCTGTCATAAATGAGCGTGTATGAACAAATGATCCGTTGAGGTTTGTCCTTGTGATATTTTCACTTACTGACTCGGATCTACAGGTGTGTGTGTGTGTGTGTTGTCATGACCACCGGCCTCTGCCAACTAAAAGCTTAGGAGGGGAAGCGGCTCCACGGTTCGAGCCGCCACAAAGGGGGACTCGGCGTGCCCGTGAACGTGGATCATTCCAACTCAGCCACTCCAGTGAGCTTCCGACACAGCAGAGCGTCCGCTGCTTTAATCTGCTCTCCTCCGCAAAGTCAGAAGTAGATCTGCTTAGCGTCCGAAGGGTTCTGCTCCATTGGACAGTACGGGCACTTCAGCCTGGGAAATACAATGAAGAGATTCATCACCATCATCATTATTACAGTAGCTGTTCTACAGATCAACAGGCATCTCCATCTCCACAAACACTCATACAGTGTTAAAAAGCACATTACCAAGTCTATTTGAGATTACTTAATAACCTGACCACCCCATTAGCCACACAGCTCCAGGGCAAAAATACAGAGGCAAGCTTTGGACAGCAAAAGCGTCTTGGCTGTTGATCAACCAAATCTGAGTAAGAGGGGAAAACTGTTAATGCTATCTTGCCCTAAGCTACCATTTTAACCCTGCATTCACACCGGCAGCGACACGAGGTGACAAAGCGGCCAGAGGTCATTCATTTTCAACGAGAGCAGGCGATTTCCGGCGACAGGAGGCGACACGAACGTTGGCAACGCAAAGTGGGAGGAATCAGCAACTTTATGCATTTAGGAGAAAAGTGATGTGGCGATTACCAATGTGAACTGAGCACTGAGCAGAGTAGTACACGCTGTATCTCCACCACTGTGAAACAGTACGCTCCATCTTTGGTTCCTAGATAATTGTTCCTACCACAGGTGGCCACAAAAAGACAGTAATCACAAAGACCAAACACTGTTTTCCTCACAAACTGACTGCACAGACCCGGGGATTAATTAAAAATAAGCACACAAGCGATTTCTCACCAGGATTTATTTTCAGCAGGAATGCATCTGATTTGTGCTTAGCGTCAGTGAAACCATGGCAACCAACGGTCCGCTCAAGTTCAGAAACGCCCTCAAGCGATGAGTGACCAGCGACAAGGGGCGAAAAGTCGCTGCCGGGGTGAACGCAGGGTAACAGGCAAAAATGCCGTCTTTCAGTGCAATTTTCAGCGTTGTGTGTGGGAGCGGGTGGGCAACCAGCCCACTGCAGGCGGGAGAGGGCCAAACACGCATTAAGAGAAATTCTGCAAATTAATGAACAGCCTAAATAAAGTAGAACAATCAATAAATCACACACACACACACACACACACACTATATATGTATATATATATATATACACATATAAACAATACAAAATGATAACTGTAAAACATTTAAAATTAATACAACAACACGGAAATTGTTGTAGCCAAAAATAAACGTTCCGTGGTTTAAATTCTGATTTGTGCTTACTGGGAATAAATGGCGTTTGGTGAAGTTACTTCACAGTGAGCCTGAGGGCCGTGACTGCAGTTTTATTTCAGCAGGGGAGAATGTATTTGTGGATAAACTGTCAGATATTGGATGTCAGTTTGCCTAGACGGAACTGAGTGGGCGGGAACGGGCCAAAACATTTTGGTTGCGGGCAGGGGCAGGACTGAATATATAGTAGATCTACTGAATATGCCTGGATCGGCTCCCATCAGGACATCTCGAGTTTAAACTTCACAAGTTAAGCCATCAGTAAGTCTATTTAAGAATTTGTGAAATCATTTTAAGAGGGGTCTTTCCAAGCAACAGCTCTTAATTTTCCCTTATTTCATATAGGCCTGGTGAGTTACGTCAGGCGTGTTTAATAAGGCAGAATGCTGAAGGCTGCAGAGCTGTGGCCCGCAAGGACCGTAGTCTGACACATGGTTTAGACAGCACGTTAGCTTGAGCTTTAGTTTTTATTATCTCATACTACACTGCACTAGATACATGTACATAAGGTTGTGTACTGTGCTGAAAAGCACATGACTTACTGCATGTGCACTTTATTCATTTTGTCAATATTTCATACTTTCAGTGCCACTTTAAACAAATATTCCCAAACCTGTACAGTACCGTATATTTGTAAATATATTTATATTCAATTTATTTGACGTATTAGTTATTGTATTTTCTGTCTTTGTGTGAGCATTTCAGAAATGTTATGTTGTGAAAATATTTTTTGGCTAATAACACTATCCTAATTCTGGTAACAGGAATGAAAGGATAAAGGCACTTACTTCCCAGCGTTGGTGAGTTTGTTAAGGGCGTCTCTGGAGATGACGTGCCCACAGATGAGCTTCATGGGTGGGTTACTCTCTGACGTCTGCTGCCTCAGGATGGGACACGCAAACACAGAGTGATACCAGCACTTTTTGCCCAGGTCTATTTCAATCTGCACACAAACATGCAAAAGAGAAAATATGAATTTGAAAGTGTATTGGCATTATGACTACCATTTACATTCAGCCAGCAGTTCCCTAAAAAGGTGCATATATAAAATGCATACAGCTTCTTTAATCTCCAGTGAAAAACATCAATCTATAGAATGAGAAGCTGCACATGAGCCTAGGGGCCACCATGTCCAATGCCAAGCATGAGCTAGAGGGGTAAAAAGCCAGCATTTGTGCAGCACTGTAACTGTGTTCTTCAGAGTGATGGAGCTCCATCAAACATCACTACCTCACCTCACTGATGCTCTTGTGCTTGAATACAATCAAATCCTCACAGTAATGTTCTACCATCTAGTGTAAGGCCTTCCCAGAAGAGTAGAGGCTGTTACTGCAGCAAAGGAGGAACAAAAGAAGAAACCCTGGAGGAGAAGGAGGTGTCTACAGACTTTTGGACATAGTGTTTCTAAGAACTATACAAAGAGGCTTAGTAGGGTATCACGGCACACAACACCCAATCAGAGCATGCACTTCAGTGTGGAAACAACAAGACCTTTTGTTAATTTTTATATTATAAAACTGACAGTTTCTGTCCTAACATCTGATTGGCTGAGCCGCATTCGAAGCCGTTGTAAAACACACGATATACACACACCTATGACCACCTCACAGCAACTGAACTCTGTATTACTGTGTCATGTCAATCACTTGTGCTGTTAATGGCATAATCTTTAACTCTCATGCTGCTCGCAGGGACCACCGAGTGTACTGATGAAGTAAGAATCAGTTTTTTGTTTAAACTGAGGGGCTGAAAACTTATTTTAACTTATTTTATCTTAACTAGAACTAGGCAGATCAGCTAGTTGACAAGCTAAAAGAGAGCCAATAGCCTAAACAGCTCCATCACTAATATCACAGGCTTGAATTGAACTACTCACGGTTTGATTCACTGTAAAACAGAAGTATAAAGGTCTAAACTACGAACTTGAATGTCTTACACACTTCAAATGTCCGTGTTTCAGTCAGAAGTCGTGTCAGGCTAAATCCCAAACAGCCCTGTTCTCCCTAAATAGTGTTCTGACTTTGAAAGTTTAGAAATTCTAGCCTTTACAGCCAAATAGTGCACTATTTATCAAGTATGGTCGCTGCTGAATCCCAAATGACTTGCATCATTTGTGCACTATGTAGGAAGCAGGGAGACATTTGAGATTCAGCCCCAGCTTGAGAAGAGGGCGCCATTGGATCAGTGCTACATAAGACTTTCGGTGGTAATTCTGTGACCAAAAAGTACTTATAAGGCCAGTTTTATTTAACAGTATAAAGTTTGGTCAGTAGGGGGAGCACTGCACTCACTGCTAGACCACTGACTCCGCCTACAAGCACAGCTATTGACTCGGGAGCCACTGAATGCTGTCGCTTTATTGGCACCCAACCGAAACAGCTGCATGAATTAGGGATTGTTTCATGTAAATGATATGTAAATGAGCTGCTAGTAGGCTGGTGCTTGATTTCACGCACTGAAGCTGATTCATCATTTGTAATCAAATCTCCACTTGTTCCCTTGTGGTATGAAAGTCTCATGAATTAGATGCAGAGTAGTTTTTATGCCATTAAAGGTGGTTAAATCTGTTCTTTTTTACACAACTTTGATGAATAAGGCACTCTAAATTTGCCAGACTTGCAAAATTTTCCAAATCAGTCAAAAAAGCAGTATTTACCAGCTAATGGAAATGCTTGTTACAGTTTTACATTTTCCCTTCTGTAGCACATCTGACTCCACTCCTCAAGTAATTAAAAAACTCATTACGAGATGAGTAATGCGCAGGGCCTTCGGGGCCGCAACAGGGAACCACTCTGCTGAGGAAAAACTGCTGAGGTGGAAAGAGCTTTAATTTTATTAGTATTTTAAATCAAGTCCAGATACAGATTATGTCCGGTAACACCATCAATGGGGATTCTTAAGTGAAAACACTTTTCTGTGTACAGCTATGCAGAATACAGTACTGGTGCAGTAAGTGTACACAACTATGCCAAAAATAGATTTTTGTATGTTTATATTGGATGACAGAACAGCATTGTTATTCTCCAAAGGCACTGTGCTTTCTCAGCAGCCTTCTAAAGACTCCTCTGGGGCCTGGAATGCATCCAAATTTAGGGCGGCCAAAGAAAGGAGCCAACAGGAGAGAGTGAGCGAAAGAAAGCACAGGAGAACAAGAGCGGCTGCATTGATGGCTCTGATTAAGATCACTGCAGTGTGAGAGGGAAATGCACATCAGATGCTTCAATAGCAGAGGAGCAGATGAACGCAACTTCCAGAAGATCAATGGTCACCTTATGCCAAATGAGGACCATGGATATGGCCACAGATGTGAAATGAATTCTGAATTTCATCAAATTCTCTAATTTACTGCAATAAACATCAAGTAGAGTGCAAAATACTAAACTTTTGGGACTCTGGGTTGCTGAATCGAACTGCACCCAAGAGGCAGGCAGTGTTTGTTTTCATACATTTCCAGGACAAAAATGTTCTGATCTCCACAGTAAACAAACTAAAACATGGTATTTTGGTGCATTATTTCTGTATTTGTTGAGTTCGGTCACTTCTTTAAGTACATCTCCTTCCATCTATACTTCTCCATTTTTAAAACTTATACAGGTGCACTTTGTAGTTCTACAGTTACAGACTGTAGTCCATCTGTTTCTCTGCATACTTTGTTAGCCCCCTTTTACCCTGTTCTTCAGTGGTCAGGACCCCCATGGACCCTCACAGAGCAGGTACTATTTGGGTGGTGAATCATTCTCAACACTGACGTGGTGGTGTGTTAGTGTGTGTTGCACTGATCTGAGTGGATCAGACACAGCAGTGCTGCTGGAGTTTTTAAACACTGTGTCCACTCACTGTCCACTCTATTAGGCCTGGTCTGTGGTGGTCCTGCAGAGGTCCTGACCATTGAAGAATGTGGTAAAAGGGGGCTAACAAGTTCACAGAGAACAGACGGACCACAGCAGTGTTTCTCAACCTCGGTCCTGAAGGCCGACTGCTCTGCACATTTTAGTATTTTCCTTGCTTTGAAACACCCACTTTAACTCAGTAATGGGTAGTTAATGAGCTGTTTCGTTGCATCAGGCGTGTTGGGAGCAAGGAAAACACTAAGAGTACAGGGCACTGGGCCTCCAGGACCCAGTCTGAGAAACACTGGACTACAGTCTGTAACTGTAGAACTACATAACATATACGGCAAGTGGAGGTGATGAAAAAGACAATGAGCACAGAAACCAGGAGGTGGTTTTAATGTTATGGCTGACCCCATATATTTTATATAAAAATATATAAAATATAGATAAAAATATGGAGAAAAAGAGAGACTGAGAGACTCACAGGCAGTTCGTCCTTGTGTGTCCAGACGCCGCTGCACTGTCTCTGCTCGATTACCTGCTTAATGTTCATCAGCACAGGCAGCGCCATGCAGCCAGACGCAAAACTAGGGGAAAAAAGGTGCACGTTAAAATAACAGGTAGCAAAACAAATGACAAAAATTCACTCCAGCCGCTTGTATTTCTTATTACAAAACTAATGTGAACCTCTGAAGACTGTTTAATGATCATTCACATTATCTAAAAGACTAATTATTTAAAAATTATAATACAGGTCAATCTTCAACCACATCACGGTGTCACTAATGTGTTTTTAAAGTTGCGGAAGGTATCAGAAGCAACATGCAGCAGCATAACTGCAAAATTTACATATATAAATATGGGTATATATGGGTATTTTTTTAGTCCATACATCACAATATTTATCATAAAAACCTTTTACTCAATACCACTCAGCCCTACTTCTTGATGACTGTGACAGTCTCACTGGAGCCGACCGTCCTCTTTGCCCAAATTACACAGGCTGTGCGAACACAACTATCGATAAGGTACGAAAACGAGCCTGTAGCGGGAAATTCAACAGGTGCATGAGGAAACATGCAGCTCTCAGCAGCAGGTCAGGAATGAGACACTACACAGGGTGGTAGGCGGCACCGTTCACATGTTTCTGAACGCAAGCGGAGGAGTGGGTCATGTGATGTAACCATCTACTGCCTACATCTCTGGACTCAAATCCCTGCTGGCCTTTTCCTGAGATCAGTGATTTAGAATGCAGCTTATGATCCTCAGCAGCTTTCATAATGTAATCTCATTATGCAAGGCAACACTGTCCCAAACGACTGATTCACTATACGTCCAAAAGTTTGTAAACATCAGCAAAACAACAGCGTTTCGTCTGAAATGCAGGGTATTAACAGGGAGTTTGCTCCTCATTTGCTGCTGTAACAGCCTCTACTCTTCTGGGAAGGCTTTACACTAGATGATGGAACATTGCGGTGAGGATTTGACCGCACTCAGCCATAAGAGCATTAGTGAGGTGAGGTACTGATATTGGTTGATCAGTTCTGGATCACTCCAACTCATCACAAAGGTACTGGATGGAGCTCCATCACTCCAGAGAATGCAGTTGGTTTTTTAAGCTGGACTATGCAAGATATTTCTTGTTTATAAGTGAAGTAGCATGACTGAGTCAGTAGGGAAACGTGGTGTACGACTGCTGTGGCAAGTCACTCCGTAAAGCCTGAAATAGTTTTTTGTTTTTTTGTTTGTTTGTTTGTTTGAGGGGTCTAAAGCCTCCCCAGCCCTGGGCCATGGAGCAGTGGAACTGTGTTCTCTGGAGCGACAGCGCTCCGTCCAGCACTTGAAGGCTTTGTCTAAACCTTATTATGAATAAGTTTGATCACAATATTCTGATCCAATACTATATTCTGTATATAATACTCTGATTCAGATTCTGATAGGACTAGTATGGAGTCAGCACAATTCACAGCACGCATTTTTGACTGACCTGACGCTGAGGGGCGACTCCACGGACAGGCCGAGCAGGGCGCAGGCGTCGCGGGTGAAGATGTTGCAGATTTCCGCCCACTGGTTGGTCTCCAGCAGGCTGCGGTAGGGTGAGTTTTCAATGCCATTGCGCAGGTAAACGAGGCTGCCCATTAACACCTGGATATCTACACAGGAAAAACAGACACAAGCTGGATAATGGCCACTGGGTCACACACACACATCAGTCACTGATCATTTGGATAACTGGGCCAATGTATATTAGGGATGTGCATAGGTACTTGAGCACTCTGTTAACTGTTCCAGATGCCAGTATGAGGATACTGAAATCACTACTCTAGTGTATAAAAATGTACAGGCCAGCACTTCAATAAAACAAAGATTGTGTTTTTAACAGGACTGTAAACGTAAAAGTATTGCTCGAATTTGCAAATATGCACATTATGTACATGTGTATGCAAAGGTTTGAACACCCCTGCCCCATGAATTACATGTTTTGTTGATTTTCTAAGTGGAAATACGTCAAAACATCCAGGTAACAAATTTTAATATGCCATTTTTGTGATGATTTTTAAGTGACCAACTTAAACTTATTTGCCAAGTTTAACATATTAGAAAAACTAAAACATAAAATATGCTGTAACTTTTGCACAAACCACATTTTATGTTTCATTTTCTTTTCGAATATGTTAAATTCAGTAAATTAACAATAATTTGCATTAAAATGTACAGAGGTGTGTTCTTTGCAGAGGATGTGTTCACGTATTTTCACGTAGAAAATCAACAAAAACATCTAATTTGACCAGATGTGCCCATATTTTTGCATACAACTGTATATACAGGGTGATTCAAAAAGATTCATCTGATTTCAAAATGATTTATTTCACTTGTAAATCATTACAGAACAATGCAGTAAACTTTAAATGGTTTAAATAAGCATAAAGTTTATTATGTAATTTTGAAAGTGCTCAGTATGAACCTCCTCCAGCTGTACAGACAACATCAACACCATAGTCAAATTCATACCATACTCGATTGAGCATGCCGGGTGTCGCTGCACTCACAGCTCTTTCAGTGTGATTTCGGAGATCATCCAGTGATGTGGAACCAACGACGAACGCTCTGAGCTGTTGGAGGTTCACTGCCCACGAAAATCACACTGCACAGTTATGACGGATTCACTCTTATTGAAGTGGAGAACGCAGAACGCTTTCTGCTCAAGGGTCTCCATCTCCTCTCAGACTGAAGGGACCCAGTGACAGTCAGAAACTCTATGACCCCCTCTTTCAATTGGTATGTGATTGGTTCCTAAGTGCCTGACTGTTGCAAAAATATGGCGCTTTGAAATCGGACAAATCTTTTTGAATCACCCTGTATTACAGGCTACTACAAAATAAGTGCTTAAACAGCAGTGCATTGCCAAGAACGTGTCGTTAAGGATGTGATTGAGAAGTCAGAACTAGGCTAAATACTCTAGCTAATGTTACCTTAAAGAAACAGTGAAAAGATATTTTTCTGACAAACAAACATGTTGGTATCGCATCCACTGAGAAGAAAAAAAACTCATCAGCATGAAATGGTGTACTGGTTAGCTCTAGTGTTGGCTCATTATGCAGCCTTTTTAGCCTTTTAAGACTGGTGCTGTCACCTAAAAAGCTAAGCCTACAATCTTGCAATAAAGTCCTTTTTTTATCCATTTCTCCTTCCCTGTGGTTAATAAAATATCCGTTCACGAACTCATGTGGATATTCTGATATCTAAGTTAGCCAAAACGCACATAGACATATATAAGTTTGAGATTAAAAAACAAAGTCCAGAAGTTTTTCTATTGTGGTTCTCTAAACATACAGTGCATACAGAAATACAGGCTCAATACACTGTTTGGCTCCAGCTGTCAGAGCAGCTGTGCTATCTGCTAACTGAGAGAGCTCCACAAAACACCCTAAAGGCTCGTTAGCGCAGAGAAGCACGTTCTACAGCTGTTAAGCCGAAAGTGCTGCCAATTCAAAAGATTTGCTGAGGACGGATTATGTTACCATTACAACAAGGACTATGGAGCACTGATTAGGAGCAGTCAGAGCTGCTGATATTTGCTGCGGTCTTCAGCCTGCCTCAGTCAGCTCATAGGCCCATTAAGCAGGACCCCACAGTGCACTACGCACAGCTGGTTTCTTCATGCATAGATAACTACTACAAATAGATATTTACTACTCAGTGAGGTCTGAAATGAGCATTTGTTCTGATGTTGCAAACCAGAGCTATTTCACGAAAGAGCTCTCTTTAATAAAAAAGAGAGTGGGATAATTAAACCATGGGTGTCATGGTGCTCAATTAAACCAATGGTTTTCAACGCTCGTCCTGGAGTCACCGTGTCCTGCACATTTTGGTGACCACACCAAATTATGGTCAGAGGTCGTCTAAGACATGGACTGGGAGCCAACGGACTACGACACAAATTTAAAACCTGTAATTTAGCACTGGTAGTTTAATCAAGGCTGACTGTTGCTGTGAGGTAAGAGTCATTGTTTTGTGGTTCTCACATTATGACCCCCTCCTTGTTTCTGCGCTCATTGTCCATTTGGGTCCATGGGGGTCCTGACCACTGAAGAACAGGGTAAAAGGGGGCTAACAAAGTATGCAGAGCAACAGATGGACTACAGTCTGTAACTGTAGAACTACAAAGTGCACCTATATAGTAAGTGGAGCTGATAAAATGGACAATGAGTGTAGAAACAAGGAGGTGGTCATAATGTTGTGCCTGGTCAGTGTATATTGATATATGATTCAGCTATAAACTGAACTATCAGGTTTTTTTTAAAGAAACTCAAAAAACCTAAGAGGACAGTGTGTCCTCACGGAAGCTGGTGAGAAACCCTGGTGTAGATCTGTACCCTGCGCGAGTCTCACCTCTCTGGTGTTGGACGGCGAAGGGCTGGAAGTGGCGGGCATAGTGCAATGCTTCCAGCTGGTTGTCCACGCCTCCGTTGAGCAGGCTGATGAAGTAGAGCCTGTGGAGCTTGAACTCCAGACTGCTGTTCAGATCCAGCAGCCTCTGTCGGTTCGTCACAGCCCATCTGTTAAAGGCAGCAGGACAAATATGGTACCAAAAACATGACATGACACCAGAAATGAGCAGTGAAAAAGGTGAGAAACCAACAGAGAGCAGTTAATTCTGCGCTCAGTGGATTTCTCTGATAATTCTGTTTATTTTTTTAAATTCTGACACATCATATCTGCTGTTATATCATTAATAATTCAACAAAGGGGGATTTAACTAATTTAACTAAATTAGAACAGCAGCTAAGTTAGTTATTCCTGAATTCCAGTCATTCCTGTTCAGTGTGCAGCGTTCATGCTGCATCAGGTTTTTGTTTGAATGGTTCGATTTGCTTTTAACGTGGTTATCATCGGTCTGTGGTGATTTTATATGGTTTATGCTGGGCTACCAGCCACAGTGTCTGGAGGGGGGTTTAGTCTTCAAATGTAAATGTTTAGCTGCAGAAAAAAGGGGGGAGGGATTGCCTAAATTTAAGAGCACACTTTAAATATGTGATAACTCGTATGAAGCTGTCTCAATGAGCCAGTAATTTAACATATTCTCTGCTATCAGCAGACCTGCACCCCCCTCAAAATTAAAAACCCATGAAAACTTAACAATCCATGTGAATGGAGTATCCATTATTCAAAACAGTGAATTTCACAGAAAGGTGAGGAGTTTGCATGTATGGCAACACTGCAAGAGACAGAGAAAGGAGCTTAATATTGTAGGGCAGTGGTTCTTAAACTGGTTCTCAGGGACCTCTAGGCACACCATGTTTTGCTCTGTCTAAAAGTCTAAAAATCTGGACTGTCTGGGGGCCCCGAAGACCAGTTTGAGAACAACTGGTGTAGGGCAATAGTACTGGTCTGCAATCCTGGCGAGCACAGCACTACATTTTAATGTTCTTACTGCTCTGAGAGTGTCTACACATTAGACAATGCAAGCACAGAGCAGCAGACGCATACAGAGGCAGACCGTGTCTGTCTAAAAGGCTTGTGTACAGCTGAAAAAGAGAGGTTTGTACAGTTTTAAATCAGGCATCCATTTTTCTACTGGCTAACGTACCTCTACATCTGAATCCAGTAAATATTTGACACAAAACAGACGGCCTTTTCTCTGCTTACAGGTACGGCGGTTCGTAGCCTGACAGAGTTAATGCTAAGTGAAACACACTGAGGGAGCTGTTGTCTGACCCTGTTAGTGCGCAGGCACCCTAACACCTCTCATTTAACTCGCAACTTGTATTGGTGCTACACACAGGTCAGCACAATCACAGTTCTACAATTCACTCCCTTTTTGTAGCAGGATTTTTGATACTGCGAAAAGAAAGAGACAAGCCATACGTACTCTAGTGCTGGCCTGAGGTCCTGCATTCTTAACGCCTCGAGAATGCGGTTGAGCTCCAGAAACGGCTGCTTCATGCTCATGTCGATAACCACACCAGACTCCTGCAACAGGAGACAAAACACAGACAAAACAAAGTTAGTGGAACGGCAAAGGTACTTCATACTGCAGTTTCACAACTCTGGAAGTGGAAAACAATGGCCGCAACTTATTTTTATAACTGATTAATCTATGGATTATTATTTGATTCCTCCAACTACTGTGTCTTCTTCAGTTTCTCTCCCTTTGCCAACCCTATCATTCAAAGTTCCTTTTGTAAGATTTCTTCTTTCGTATTGCAAAGAAATAACAGGAGCCATTATCACCCCTTCCACTTGCTTGGAGTCTGACAGAAGGACCACGTGGCGTATCACTATTACAGACCTTTAGTGAGCTTTTAACTAAATTTTTATTGTTTTTAACAAATGCAAAAAAAACAAAAGCAGCATTTTAATCAGCGTTGTTGACAAACTGTTGCCACCCTAAAACAACTATAGACACCAAACTTTCCCCCTTTTTTTCCCTAAAACATAATTTCACAATGCCAGCTGCTATTTATAGTGTGTCCTTTGTTTATTTACCTACCTCTGACTCACTAATCGCACATATGGAAATGTGTACAACTGTATATATCATAGCTTTAATTTCACATTAAAACTGTGCAATACTGATGTATAAATGTGTATATTTAGAGTTTGTGTATATATTTTTACATACTTTTTATTTATTTTTGTACTACTACAAGGGGGCTACGCACCCAGGATTTTCACTCACCTTCACACCTGTTTAAATGTGATGTGGCAATAAACTGGATTTGATTTTGATTTGATTCGAGTAAGTTACTCAGTATGGTATTGGTCTCATTTTTGGCGAGTACTAACAATATATACTCGTACTTGGTATGAAAACAATGGTATCGATACATCCCTAATCATGACTGACACTGCATGTTAATGTACCACTAACTCCTTTCTAGAGGCAGCGATGAAACAAGCCTACCTGGCAGAGGTCCTCAGCCACGCTCAGCATGCCCTGGCGGTACAGGTGCTCCACAATGGTCTCACTAAGGTTCCTCTGTTTCTCGGGAGAGTCCCACACGTTCTCAGCCACCACAGCACTCACCTCCGCATCAAAGTTCTACACGGAACAATACCTCATTACACACGTGAGATTTAGTCACGTTTAACCAAGCTACTACAGCAGAGGTGATGGACTCCAGATGAGTCCAACATCTGCTTCTTTAGTTTTGCACTGGAGCTACAAGGTTAATGTAGCTAACAGGTAATGGAAGCTCACACACCACCAATTAGCATGGTGCAAACTGCATATCTAAATCATCATGTACTTGAGTAATAATAGAGCCGAACAGACTTGCTTATGAGGTTTCTGACACAGTAATAAATGCTGTTATCTATAAAACAAAAAAAAAGACAAAAATACAGATAATTTTCAAGCCTCGAGGCGGCTACTGCAGGTCAGCTGGGTTTGAGCCAAGGGTGATGCTATGCAGTCTGCATATTGTCAGTTGGTGGACACTGCTTTTCTTGTCCTCTAAAATAGCCTTAATGCAAAATTTACATTGCAAAACAAAAGCTATCATTTATAAAGCCCTTCATGAGTTAAATCAGGCCTGTCAGACATGGGAAAACAGTCAGTGTGGCAGCTGTGCAGGACTTCCTTCATGACATCCTTGTACTCCGTGACGAACTATGATTATTAGAGCTAAATTTTTAGTTTGGGCCATAAAACCTCTTTAAATCTGTCAAAAAGAAAGAAGAAAAAAAATAATAATAAAAACACCACCTCTATGATTTACGCCTATTTCAGCTAGTACCCCTATGGGACTGTATATTAGCGCTAAGATAACAATGAGTGTGTTTACATGTGCTTAATAATCCGATAACTGCAGAAAATCAGATTTTGTTAGTAATCTGATCAACGTGTTTACATATTTTTGAGTAATCAGATAATAGGAAAACCCCAGGTCTACATGAGTCAGATTTCTGCTTTGCAACCAGCCAATAAACTCACAGAAGATGTGATGTAAACATAACATAAAACTCTTGCTGTGGCTTTTTTCTTTTTTCTTTTTTTCAACATCACAGCACTTTACCTGAAAATATGAACATACATCATCTAGAAGATGAAGAACATTTAAATCCTTCATTTCGTGTTTGGTTTCAGTGCCGCTCCAAGGAGAGGTACAGTCATTCTCGCGCATGAGCAGACTGAGAAATCCGGAAGAAATCAGAGTAAGAGTTTACACGCACTGAGAAATCTGATTACTGAGCTTAAATCCAGCTCTCTTTATCTGATCTCTTAATCTCTTGATCGGATTATTGAGTGCATGTAAACACACTCAGTGATTCAAACAACCATTTTCTGGCCGCTCTACATAAATCAGATATTTGCAGCTTGTAAAAGACGTTCCATGGATTTTAAATAAATCAGACTTTAACGTGTTTTCAGTTACTCGTTCAGTTACGAGCCCCAACGTAGAGCTGCTATGGGTTTATCCATTTCTAAGATCTGACTCAAAACTGACCAGACTATCACTCCTACTCAAAGTGACGTGTCTAGAACTCCCAGAATGCCTAGAGTGACTTTTTCCTCACACTCACAGGAAATCATAACATGACCATTTGACTTCACTGTCACTTCCTCATTCTATTAGTAGTTCATGTGACAAGTTAGAACTTACCAATAGTCCTAACCAATGAGAGAACTTGCTTAACTATATCTACATATCTATATCTATCTATCTAGACTCTACAGAGGGAAAAAAGCTCTGACTGGATAAATTTGCCGATGGGTTATTAAGAATTTAACTCATTTTTTTTCCTTCCAACCAAAGTTTCAAATAAAATAAAAGTATTACTACGATAATTACAGAGTGTGTACAACTAAGCCTGATGATTATATTGAACAGAAACAACCTTAAAAGGACAAACATTCATTCTTCTGTTTCACAGAAATCACTAGGCTTTTACTGAAGGCCAAGAAGGAACACTGCTTGCAGCAGATGACCAAGCACAACTGCTACTCACGCGGTCGATAGCTTTGCCCACTTTGGACACGCTGCCGTGGATGTCCTTGTGGCGAGAGGCGAGCATCTGCACTGTTTCTTTGATTTCCTTACAGCACTGCGCCATCGTCTGAGAGAGTACGGACAAATCCGCATCTTGTACACCTGAGATGAAGGGAGAAAATAACACAATGTAAAACATGTTTCAGGAGGGCAAAGTCATGCCCTGCCATTTAAACAACAGCATGAATCATCTGTGTAAAACAAAGCTGGAGTTACGTAATCAGCTGCAAGCTTTTGTGTGGGCAAGAGGGTCAAGAGATCGCGAAATGATGAAACGTAGCATGACTTCTCCTACCGGGTGGGCTGCACTGCCTATCGGCACAAACAAAGCACCTGTTTTTCCTCTCGCGCCTCCGGAGCCAAGAAATCTACAATACACTGCTCTTCAAACTCTACAGCATAACATAAACAAACACTCCCACAGGCTCTCACCACTCTAGCTGATAAAGGTGTAGTGATCAATACTGTAGTGAAAAACCAGTGAATGGAAATTGCTACCTGAAACCACCAGTGAACCTACATGTGTCTTCTGAATTTCGTTGATAATGGTAAAATAGCAATAAATCTACAAAATGTGTAGGGACTATTTTGCGTCTAACGCATCAGCCCACGCATTCATGACCATTTCAGCTAATAACTTTCATTAAACTCTTCAGACGTCTGGTTCCCATTGCCTCCCCTGTGAACTATTCTGACTTGTTAAGTTTTCTAGAAAGAAACATTTCATATTAAACCACTCTGAGTGGCTTTGTTTACATCTTAACCATTAAATTATGCAGCAATTAAAATAATAAATAAATAAAAAGTGGAATTCCCCTTTAAAATTTGCACTGGTCACAAAATTTCACATTAGGCTTTGTTCACCAGGCTGAAATGGCAGACTCAGATCTGATGTTGTCACAGCTGTGTGGACACGCTAATCTGATCTTTTCAAATCCAACCTGAGCCACTTTGGCTACGTTCACATTACAAGCCTCGTTGCTCAAATCCGATCTCTCTGACTCGATGGTTCGCACTCATTTAAGTAAGTGATTCAGATCTGTCATTAATGTAACGAACTGGCGTCCTGAAATGACTCACATGAGCACATCCTGCTCAGTAACGTCACGTGAATGAATCACGTTCATCATCATCAAACAGTCTAACGAGCAGAACAAGCTTCACTGAGAAGATAATTAACTCTGATCAGCTCTCAGCTTCATTATTAGAGCGAGACGAAGGAGAAAAAGGTGAGATGAGCTGCTTTTCCACCGTTTACAGGCTTTAACTTCTGTTCGGCGCTGCTGCCATGGTAACGCTGAATGATGCCACAGTCGAAAAAAAGCTCACGAATTCCGATCTGAGCGTCACATTAAGGTCGTATGGCCACGAATCGGATACGTATCCGATTTTCACAGCGAAGCTCGTTCTGCTCATTAGTCTGTTTGATGATGATGAACGTGATTCATTCACGTGACGTTACTGAGTAGGATGTGCGCATGAGGGTCATAGAGATCGGATTTGAGCAAAAAATCGGATTTGAGCAAAGAGGCGTGTAATATGAACGTAGCCATAGACAGGCCCTATTTATTCTAGCTTCCCAAAGTCACAGGAGTTGAATCACCACCCTCGGACTGATGCATCACAAACCACTCGTGCATTTTTTTCTCTTTCGTCTTACCGAAGGTGACCAGCTGGCTGCGAAGTTCACACACGTTCCGCAGCAGCTCGTCCAGACGCTCCTCAGACTGGTGCCCGTACGTCACGAACCTGTGCAACACTTTCTCCAACTCTCGCTCCACACAGGCACACTGCTCCATCACTGTAGAGTAGGACTATCTCTCTCTCTCTCTCTCTCTCTCTCTCTCTCTCACACTCACACACACACACACACTTAGCAGCACCAACACCTGCAGAACAGACACAGAAGCATCACAGGTTATATAATTTGTCATGTATACATTTTATATAACATATAATCATGTACGATTGGAATATGATTATATTAATAATTAGGCCAGTCATCATTCTTACATAATCGACTGATCTTAAGTATTTAAGCTGATCACAATTATTTTCAACAGTTGTTTTCTTTGACAATCAAAAGTTTTTTTGATCTATTCGGTTGAGGCAAAAACACATACTTATTACATCAGTATCATACCGGCACCAGAATGAACAGTGTCAGAATGTAACTGCGGCACAAATTATCAAAACAAGCTGGCAAATAGGAGGCCAACTTCAGCTCCCACATCCTTAACAGGATCCCGGACAACTGAACTAAGATGCACATTTTACTCCGGACAGCTTCTCAAACCTTGGACAGTATCGAGCAGCTTCGCTCAGCGTTTGACACTGAAGGGACTGAAGAGATCGACATTTCCAACTTTATTAGCATCACAACCTCAACAGCAACCTATGTAGCAGCCATGCTGTGTGATTTCATCTACATTTTGAGGGTTAAATTTACTGGGATTTTTAACGAGATCGAAAGCAAGTAGCTAGAAGTCCAGAAAGTAGCTAGAAGCTCCAAGTAACTAGCAAAGCTAACTGAACAGCATGATGACCGAGCTTATTTACACAGAGGCTCATTTTATTTTCCTGTCTGTGTTTATTTCGACATTTCGGTGCCTCACTGTAAACCAGCCAATCGGAGCTTATCAAATTATTCATGAGCCCCCCAAAAAAAGGGAAAACAGCTCGTTTCATTCTAGGGGCTCATCACAGGGTTGGAAATGGAAGTGTAAAACCGCATCTGGCCATTTTTCCCCCGACCAAACTAACATACCGCATAACCGTTCAGATATTTTAAAATACTTCACTGGAAAAAAGATAAACTAGGTTTAAAAGACCATATACAGATAAAACACTACATGGCACAAAATGCATATAAATGGGCCTGAGAATCCAGCTCTGTTTCTTACTGTAAGACAGAGCAGCAGGAGAACTGCCCACTAACAGTCACTTCATCAAAAAGGTCATTATTATTTGACTCAGTTGTTCAGAGTAGAAGAAGCACTAAATTTCAGAGTAGCAGTGAAGAAGCTGTGCCGCCTGCCAGACCTGATTACAACGCTCCTGTTTCAGATTAACGCGATCAGCGGCTCCTACAGATCAAAGTCTATCAGAAACAGTCATCACAGTACATGACATTAACAGGCCACATCTACTCAGACGCACACTGCACTGAAGACTCGGTTTTGCCTGGATTTTCACAGAATACATTTCAATTATAAATGATTCACAGTGTGATGTTTAGTTTTAGGATTGTGAACAAAAAAAAATAAAAATCCACCAGCAACACAGAAGAAAAGCTGAAAAACTGAGCACAACCAGTCAAATAAGCTAAGCTACTAACCTGTAAATGTGCAGCTGCAGACAGAAACACTGACAACACACAAAACTCAACATGTGTATATATATATATATATATATATATATATATACACACACACACACACACACACACGTGTATTTATATATATATATAAAATCTGTACTGATATAACTATCAGTACCATCCACTAATTGATGATGCAATATCACTGTAAATTACATTTGTGTGTGTGTGTGTGTGTGTGTGTGTAGTGTATATATATATATATATATATATATATATATATATATATATATATATATATATATGTATAGAGCTGTTGTCGGAACTTTACAGGAGAATGAAAGAACCTACTTCACTTATAATGTAAGTCAATGGAAACAGACTTTTTTCCCCCAAGTAAATTTAGGCTGTTTCTTTTGGTTCATTCATCATGAAATTTACAAATAATGTAAAGAGTAACAGGCATTTTCAAAAAATGTCAAAAACTGAAAAACGAAAAAAAATGGAGAGATGAGGTTTTCTTCTGACAGCAGCGACACACACACACACACACACACACACACACACACACACACACACACACACAATACACACACACATATATATATATATATATGTAACAGGTGGATGAACACTTTTATGCATAATGTATGAATCAAATTTATACTGTCTGTCTGATAAGTGTCTGATACATGGATCATACCTATGTCTGATAAACACATCATAAAACATTAAGCTAACATATATGCGTAATATATGTCATCCACATAAGATTAATGCTTTTATTATATAGTATTTGTGTTACACATGTTACGTGTTTATTTACGGTGTTATATGACTGAAATATAAGTCCCACATTTGAAAAAGGCCAATTTCAAATAAGCTGGCATGTTTAACACGTCAGATATAAGATGGATTTAAGGGAAATCCATATACGCCAAAGCAGGTGATATACTGCCATATATCAAGATTTCTGTTTGGGAAGTAAGGTCTGCTTTGGTTAAAGAGAAAGAACAGAATAAAACAGTCTCAGATATTGTATTTTTTAAATGTTGAATGCTCTAAAAATGGAAAATTTACACAACAGAAGGTTAAAATAAGTCACATTCTATTTAGCTGTATCGAAAAAGGTATCAAATCGAGACACTGCGTCAAAATGATTTATGAATTTTCTGAATTATTACCACTACAAGATACCATGATGTGTTATTTACTTATTATTATATATATATATATATATATATATATATATACTATATGTACTGATATAACTATCAGTACCATCCACTAACTGATGATGCAATATCACTGTAAATTACATTTGTGCTGAAAAAGAATGTGTTGACAATGTCTTTATATGCCTTTACTCTAGAGGTGGGCGATACAGCAAAACATAATATCACGATACTTCCAGATGTTTTTACAATCCACGATACGAGTCACAATATTTCGTTTTTTCTTATACGTTCAAACAGATGAAGTAGTGCCACGTTTTAAAAATACTATTAACAACTATGAATCCAACGACTAGCATCCAACATTTCACACACTGTCCTGAATTCAATTAAACAGAAGGAAAAAAAAATTGTGCTGGGCAATATAACAATTTATATCATTATCATTCTTACACCACTATAAAATATGCTTTTCTGATCATGGGTATCGTCAGTACTAGCAGAACACAGAACGACTGCACGTTTTACTATAAAGAGAGCCGTATAACTGGGTTTAGTGCCACATACTGAATAAAAATCACTGTATTCACAGTTTTTGCTGGTATTTTTTTTTATGTAGCACTACTGACTCTTCTTTCTCAGTTCCAACCCAGATCAAATGTCTGAAAAAAATAAATATCGTGACATATCAAGTATCATGAAAATTTCCTGAAGTATCACAATGTAAGATTTCTGCCGTATCGCCCACCTCTAGTAACTGTGCTCTCTTCTTCATCAAAAACGTGGAAAGAAAGTAATTTTAAACCGCTGATCAAATCCATGATATACTCAGAAAAGCATACCGTGACATATCAGGATGTTATTTATTTATTACGATAACGATAAATATCGTCGTACCGTCCAGCTCTACATTACCTGGTATCGCTACATTATAAGATATGTGGAAACGTCACCACCAGACTTCACAGACATTTCAGTGGCTGATTTCTGACTAACGTTACAGGCTGAAGTACAAATACCGACCTAGTCCTTACTAAGTCCTCACCTAGTCCTCATTTTTACAGCTCCAGCTTGTCCTCCAAACCCAGTTTCTTCCTCAGCCTGAGCTGAACTGTGGCTCTGTGTCCTGTCCGGCTAAAATAAAGAGCTAGCAGACCTGGAGACTAACATTACAACCTGCTTCAGCATCGCCTCGACACTTAGTCCTAAAACTAATCACCATTTCAAACGCAAAGGGTGAGAATCCCGGACTAGGAGCAGCCGAGGAGTCAGAGAGAGAAGAGGCTGAACGGGCAAAAACAAACACTAGCTAGCTGTGCTAGCGTTAGCCAACAGGCTAACTGCAGGCAGGCGGGACCAGCTCGGCCAGCTTTCCCCCGCTTTCACCGGCAAACCCCCGTCTTACAAGGCGAAGTGTCGACGGGGTTCATTAGACTCAGCCATCTGCCTCCATCTGGGCTGATTTAGGGCTGTCTGAGAGAGGAAAATGGGAATAAAGCGCAGTGTATACTCGCCTGCTGTAGCAGCGATCCGTCCGTGGAGTAGAAGCTCACCGCGGATGGCGCCCTCTAGGAGCCGGGAGTACAAGAGCGGTGTTTATAAACTACTTTAACCGTTTGTGAACCAGCTTTGTACCAGCGCTGAGCTTCCCTCAGCACTTTACTGAAGCCCAGAGAGGCCGAGAGGTAGTTATAACTTTCTAAGATGTTATCTTGAGATCATGACTTATTTTTCTTGTGATCACAAGATTACAGAAGTTGTTTTCTCGAGATCACGACTTATTTGTCTTAGGATCTCAAGATAAAAGTTTTTTCTCAAGATCACTACTTGTTTTGTACGGAGCCCCGCTGGTGACATCCTGTATAAATAAAAATAATGCGTGGCCACGACTTAGTAAGCTGTGATCTCGTTCCCACGCCTTACTAAGTCGTGGCCACACATTAGGATCTCGTTCCCACGCGTTAATAAGGTGTGGCCACGCATTATTTTTATTTATACAGGATGTCACCAGCGGGTCTCCGCAGTTTTGTGATCTCAAGATAACAAAATTTGTTTCCCCAAGATCAGATTTTTTTATCTCACGATGACAAAAGCTACGGAGCCCTGATGGTGACATCCTGTGTAAATAAAAATGGGTGGCCACGCCTTATTAACGCGTGGGAATGAGATCCTAATGCGTGGCCATGACTTAGTAACACGTGGGAATGAGATGATTAAGTCGTGTCCATGACTTAGAAAGGTGTGGGAACGAGATCACGGCTTACTAAGTCGTGGCCACGCATTAGGATCTAGTTCCCATACTTTACTAATGCATGGCCACATGGGAATGAGACAATTAAGTCGTGGCCACGCATTATTTTTATTTATACAAGATGTCACCAGCAGGGCTCCATAAAAAACTTTTCTCACAATCACAATTTATTTTTCTCATCATCTCAAGATAATGAAGATTATCAAGTTATCTTGAGAAACAACTTCTGTTATCTTGAGATCACGACTTATTTGTCTCATGATCTCAAGATAAAAGTTGTTTTCGCAAGATCACAAACTATTTGTCTTGGGATCTCAAGATAAAGGTTCTTTTCTCAAAATCACTACTTGTTTTGTGATCTCAAGATAACAAAAGTTGTTTCCCCAAGATCAGACTTTTTTGTGATCTCACGATGACATGCTGTTTTCTCAAGATCACAACTTGTTTTTCTCTTGATCTCAAGATAACAAAACCTGTTTCCTCACGATCACAATTTATTTTTCTCGTCATCTCAAGATGATCAAGATTATCAAGTTATCTCGAGAAAACAACTTCTGTTATAAAAGTTCCAAGTTTTTTTCCTCAAGATCCCAACTTTTTTGTCTTGGGTTCTCAAGATAAAAGTTAATTTCTCAAGATCACAACTTTTGTGATCTCAAGATAAGTTGTTTTCTCAAGATCACAACTTATGTTGTGCTCCCATGATAAAAGCTGGTTTCCTGAGCTCAAACTTTTGTGATCTCAAGCTAACAAAAGCTGTTTTCTCACAATCACAACTTAATTTATGATCTCAAGATGATCAACATTATCAAATTGTACAAAGAAAAGAACTTTTATCTTCAGATCACAAGACAAATAAGTCATGATTTCAAGAAAACAGTCCAGAAAATTATAACTACCTCAAAGCCTCTCTGGACGTCTGTAGTATTTACATCACCAGACACTTTATTAGAAGCTCCTGCCTTGTAGCTCTACCTCGCTGATGTTCAGAGACTGTAGATCCGCAATGCTCACCTGTTGATGTGCAGCTTGTGTCGGCCGTCTTTTAGTCCTTCATCAATGTAGGGTTGAACGATTTCAGGAAAATATTTCATTGTGATATTTCACAAATTTTGCGACTGCAATTTAAATTGCGATTATTTTCTGTAAATTAAGGTTCAGGCATGTTTTTTTTAAATCCAGGAAGACCAGAATATCCACTATTTCTTGTTTAAGGCTTGATTCCTGAACGCAGTGTGCCAGAGTGCCAGTAAGCCGAGGCTGTGATGTCACAACACAAGTAGGTTTGGTTGCCTCTGATTGGTCTAACTCGTCTACAGGCAGTTCACAACCTCTGTGTTATTAGGTTCAATTCCCTCACTTAAAACTTAAGACAACTTTTTGGTAACGTAGGCCATAATTTACAAAAGTGCCCTCTCTTAAATTATGACTTCGATATAAAAATGATTCATCTCTTACGTCAACAACCAGTTTCTGACCACAGAGCTGCTCTTGGCTGGATGTTATAGCAGTGATGCTGATGTGTATGTAAAACTCCTAGCAACACCACTGCGTCTGATACATTCGTACCAGCCACTACCATGTCTGTGTCACTGCGCTGATGAGAATGGACCACCAACCACATTTTTTTTCAGCAACCAGCTGTTTTTTTTTCAGCCAGGTGTTCAACAGCAGTCCTGCGGTCAGAAACCAACCATGGGATGAGAGGCAGAGAGGGTCACTGCTACTGTTCAACAGATGGGCTACAGTCTGTATTTGCACACCTATACAGTGCAGCTCTAAGATGGGTGTTTCTAATAAAGTGGCCAGTGAGTGGAATCAAAAGGTAGGTGTTTCTAATAAAGTGGCCAGTGAGTGGAATTACAAGGTAGGTGTTTCTAATAAAGTAGCCAGTGAGTGGAATCAAAAGGTAGGTGTTTCTAATAAAGTGGCCAGTGAGTGGAATTACAAGGTAGGTGTTTCTAATAAAGTGGCCAGTGAGTGGAACTACTAGGATGGTGTTTCTAATAAAGTAGCCAAAAATGGAAGTACAAGGTAGGTGTTTCTAATAAAGTGGCCAGTGAGTGGAATCACAAGGTAGGTGTTTCTAATAAAGTGGCCAGTGAGTGGAAGTACAAGGTAGGTGTTTCTAATAAAGTGGCCAGTGACTGGAATCACAAGGTAGGTGTTTCTAATAAAGTGGCCAGTGAGTGGAAGTACAAGGTAGGTGTTTCTAATAAAGTGGCCAGTGAGTGTTGGTTAGTATTTACCATATTCATCTCACTGAGTGTGGTGCAGTTGATCTGATATGCAGTACATATTAATCTTGCCAGTAACTCTGCCAGCAATAGCAAATGTGGTAAATATCTGTTACAATCTCTTAAGTCAGTATTCTACATCACACGTAGCAATATTCAACTATTTTTCAATATTTTTGATATTTTTTGAATTTCCAGGCCAACATTAACCAGCATAGAACTCTTCCCTACACTAACATTGTTCTACCTTCAATGCATTCTTATAATATACAATTCATTATGTGTATTATCAGTTTTTACCATATGCAGTGGAAAAGAAACGACCATCACTAAGGTGTTTGTGTTGGTGCACCAGATCGTAAGAATGAGCAGATGTGGTCCAGTGGGAGCAGCTGTTTCTACTGTAAAATTTTACTTATAATATTTAATATACATAAAGGAGTACAGTACGGTTCATGAGTCTTCTAAAATGGCAGCAAACGTTTTTTTCGCCCCCGATCACCCCAGAACATCTGATTTGTGTTTCGTTTTCTTCAGGGCGCCGAGGGGGGCCAGAGGAGGCTGGGGCACGGCAACTAACATCACGAACACAGCCACAACGAAAGAGTAAAAAACAAGTACACGAGTGAAAAAGGTTCTACAAGGTCCATAAATATAAAGAGACTAAAGAAAAACAAACATTTTTTTTTGTTTGTGGAAGGATATACAGAAGACGAGAAAAGCAAGTAACAAAGATGGTCGCTGCAAAGTCAAAAAGATAAAAAAGAAAAACAGATAAACGTATGTGGTGGTAAGATGTTTCACATTGCATCAGATGGGTGTTGGTATCAAAATAGACTGATTGTAAGGCCAAAATGCTTTCAAGCTCATCGTTGAAGGTACAGAGAATGTATAGTGATGCCTCTCCTCCGTTTAAAACAGTGTGTTTTCACTGCGGGGAAGGTGCTCCTCATCTCGAGAGCTTCCGAACCAGATGTGCATGTAACACAAATGATACGAGATTCAGATGTTGGGTCTCCAACACTGAGTGGGGTATTTTTCATTCCAGTTTGTTGGTGCAAAAAACTAAGGGGCACTACCGAGTGCTTTGAAAAGAGGTGTTAAACATACACGAAGGCCAAAATTTCGCTGCTTAACCTTCAACATAAATATGAACACATGAATCCGCGACAGTCTGTCCGATACTAAGCCGGATATACACCTTCTCAAGGTGTGAGAACCACCAAAGAAATGTTTCAGTCAATATTAATGACGGTGAAATTGCTGAATTTAATTTCACACCTGGCATGAGATCATGCGAACCTGCTTTCAGTCACAATAAGCCATATTAGCTTTTATTTTTTTAGTTAGGTACTCATTTAAAAAGGTAGGCTTGAATGGAAAGTTAGCCAATAGATTCTATAATAAAGTAATCGAAGTCCTCTGTATTCCTTCAGTATCTGTACCTGGTAACACTGTACAGTAAGGTACTGTTCTTAGAGCTACATGCCACCTACATAAGCTTGATATAACCCTACATAAATGCTTATAAATGCTTGTTCCAATAGGCGTCGCTCGCTGTCATGGTTACATCTGCAGATCTTGATCAAAGTTAGCAAAAGCTGCCCTTATAACAGATGACGCCTATTGGAATAAGCATTCATAAACGTTTATGTAGGGTTATGTCAGTTGTCATGACAAGCTCATGTAGGTGTCATGTAGCTCTAAGAATAGTACCCTACAGTAAAGTGTTACCCTGCACCCTAACCCCGAAATAAGAACATGACTTCGGAAAAAACAATCATGAGGCAGAACAGGGAACAGGCAGAGATCACCACATTGGCTGCGTCTGCTAATTCAAACTTCCCGCCTGCTTTCTTTGATTGTGCCTGATCTGTGTCCGGCTGTCTTGGATAATATGAAATATATTTCATATAAAATATACTGGCAGAGCTGACCAGCACGTGAATCCAACGGCTACCAGATCAGGCAAACTACGCAGACGCAGCCACTGTAACTTTTCTAGAATTATGCAAGATTATTCTGTGGATCGAACATCTGAAACTGAACGAAACAAATCACAGAGTCAGATTAGAGTTTAAGACGGTGCTTGATTGTTTAAAAGTGGAGGCAAACAAAGCAAAAGCCCCAGCGTGAGAACTATTCAAGAAACTGAACCAGCTTCTGCATTGTGGTTCCTGTAAAAACCTGAAAAAGTGCGAGAACATTTTTAGAGGCACCTTCTGAACTATCAGAAAAGGATGAGCAGGACGTTGACTGTTTTGTACGTGCTGCTCTTGTGCAGACATAATTCAATATATCCTGCAAAGGAGGAAGCAGCATGGTGCTTTAATTGGTTTTACTGCAGGGTCTCTGATGAACGAACTCAGCGTCGACTTATTTTGCCTGATTTAAGAGGCGTGAAGTGAAGAAACTCACTGAAGTAAGACATGATGAGAAGAGGGGGCAGTATCGTCACAGAAGATTCAACTGTAAAATGGACCAACCTGAGCTACTTTCACTAATCCTGAAGCATACCTTAACAAAAGATAATGGGAGCTGACTTATACTCTCAAATGATCAAGTTACTCAAACTGAAAACGCCTGGAATGTCGAAGCTCTCAGTAACTGAACGCTTCAATTTAGCATGTAAGTCAGCTTTCACATAATAATAGTAACAAAATATGTCAATTTATTATTATTTATTTTTACGATCGCAGCCTGGAATAGCTGCAGTTTTCTTTGCTCAGTCACTATTTGATTCTATTAAATTCATGTGGCCAGTTCTGGTGGTAATGACACGTGCATGGGCAACTCAAAATGATGACTGGTCAGTCATTTTTGAGTTTTAGGATAGTTGTATGAGGCCATTTCTGTACACATGGGGCAACTTGAGACACTGTTACTGCTGTCCTTAAAGACAAGATGTAATTTCCTACTCATCTTAAGTGTTTAGGGCTTCTAATCCACTGCGGTGTATTGAACTCATATTAGTCTGTTTTTAAAACAGGGCGACCTACAGGCCGGACGAAAGCATGATCGCTGTCCAAAAGTGCATCGCAGCTATCGTAAGAGTATTATTTCTTAAGACACTGCGTTAAAGTGTTGCTGCCCCCCAATATGCTGGATGTCACCCGCTGTGTTCATATTTTGCCAGAGAGAAAAATGTAAACAGTTGGTGGAAAAACAAAACAAAAACAAATCAAAAACCAACACAAAAGAGCACCAGACAGTAACTTTACACCCACTACTGGACTCATGGCTGAAGAACTCAGCCAAAGGCCCACAGCACCACTTCCAGTCCCCTTTATGGAGCTGTTAAAGAGGACTTGAATAGAGAAGGCAAGCTGATCCCCATAATCAACCTCAGCATGTTGCACACGTCCGTTAGATTCAAGAGAGTCCCTCTGCATTCAGCTGAGAACTAACTAGACAATCTCCAGGGCCTGTATTCACTAAGCACCTCCAGGTATCAGTGCTGATCTAAGATCCCAGCTTTTGTCACCATACACTATAAAAGCATGACTGACTCAGAAACAGCACTTTCACAAGGTTCTTTGAGAATATGGCCTCCAGTACTGTTCCTGCTTCTCTCTCGCTGCTCTCTAGCGCCCCCTGCCGGCTGTGGCCGGCTGAGGAGGCTGCCAAGTCAGAAAGAGCTTTGCGATTGATGGATGGATTTCAGAAAGGAAGAGATTTCACTTTCTCCTAAGACGCCTCTGGCTCCATTTCCACCTCTCCTAGAGCTTCGGCATCAAAGTCTTCGTCCACACACTCATCGCCCCAGTCTTCAAACCCCTCTTCGTCTTCCTCGTCTTCAAACCCCAAGTCTCCGTAGTCCCCATCATCATCGTCGTCGTCATCATCATCATCATCGTCCTCATCTTCATCACCTATAACCTCCAGTTCCTCATCCTCATCCCCAATCACTCCTTCCACCACCTCTCCTTCTTCCGGTCCTACATCTTCTTTCGCCTGTTTACAGCGAGAAGAGGCAGCAGGGATCATTGTGCGGTCCATCACAACTTCATCCTTGAATGCCCCTCGCTGGCCGCCGTAGCCAGGTCTACTGGGGGCAGGGATGTAAAGATGAGCAGCTGTTGCCATGACAGCCTGAGGTAATCTGGCAGCGGAGAGTCCAGGGCCTCCTAGATTGGGTGGCGGGTGCAGGATGGGAGTCCCAGGAACGTACTCGCGGATCTCGCCTGGCTCCAGCGGGTCGGGGCCACACGGGTCGTGCTCGCTGCAGGACAGCTTCCCGTCCAGCTTGGAAATGAAGAGCATGCCCTCACGGTGCTGCTCGCAGTAAGAGCTGGGGCACATCTCACAGAAAGACGCCGCCTCATGTCCACACTTGTTACACTGATGCCACGGGCACTCCCACCGACCTGCAGACAATGATGACGACAAATGTGTAAGTCGAGTTTCTTAGCCACAGATCAAATAAATTAATAACTGCTCTAGGTTTTGAGGTAAGTCAGGTCATCCTAACGTGGAATACTGTTTTTCTACACAAACGGGTAAAAGCACACTGCATATCTAAAAGCAGTAAGAGCATCCATTATGAAGCCTGAATTTTGTCAGTGCTTAAAAGATAACAGTACGTCATACAGTGACAGACACCACATAAGCAAGTCTGTTCAGGATTAAACTCTTAAAAATGGTTCTTCAAGGGTTCTTTAGTAAAGAAAATGCTTCTATAAAAGAACCATGAACACAAGTGTTCTTGAGACTGAAATGGTGCATTGCAGATGGTTCTATATAGTACCCAAGAGGGTGTCTAACGTTACAAGCTTGACACTGTAGCAACAGAAGAACACTTTATTGTGCTATACAGAACTATTTTCAGAAAGTTGCTTTACAAAAATCAATATAGAGCACATTCTCCATTAATCTGAAGAACGCTTTCACAATGCCAAGAACCCTTTAAATCATGCAATGGGTCATTAAGTGTTCTTAGTTCTTTCTAAAACCATTTTCTTCATGAAAATGAACTTATTTGAAGAACTTATTTTTAAGTGTGTACCATCTTAACAGCTTCACAGCTTCACAGCAAGCCTCTGACTAGGTCTGGGCGATATGGCAAAACTAGATTCAGTTTTCTCAGTCAGTAATTTCACTCAATAGTATTCATTTATTTAAATCACTTAATTACAAGAATGCAGAAATTTAAAAACTCTGAATGACCGAAGTTAAATCGTTAGGATTGAAACAAATTCAATCAGAACGGTTTGATGGGAAATGCTCCGCGTTAAAGAAACGTACTGGTTGAGAATTGTTCACAGTGGCGGTGATAGGAACCAGACGTCTGAAGAGTTTAATGCCTCTTAAAACTACATTACAAAAGCGCTATTATATGAAAATGGTTAAGAATATGCTGCCTGATGCCTGAGACATTGTTTTACCATGGTTTTTGTTTTGCCCCAACGTGTATTTTTAAAATTCATTCAGGGCAGATACACTCAAGTTGTTGTGAGTCGCAAAACAGACCCCAAAAAAAGATTTTTCATTTATCACTAATTTTCCATTTTCAGCATCACACACAAAAGCTCAGAAGATCGTGTAGGTTCACTGGTGGTTCTGGATAGTGAATAAGATGGCTATATTTATGTTGTAGACATTGCGACCCCTGGTTCCTATCATCACCACTGCAAGTCCACATTTTTGTGCAATGCATCACATCAAACCAGTCTGACCAACTTTGTTTACATTTCAAAAAATAAATTTAATTCAATTATTGACAAATGTTTTCAGAAACTGGTGCAATTCCACTTTAACACAAAATAACAGCCATCTTACTCTCATACACTCGACACAAAGCTGCAATACCAAACCATGTTGCTCACTAAGCGACAGGCCCCACTCACCTGCAGGCCTCCTGGCCAGGTTCAGACAGTCTGCGTGGTACACTTTGGGACAGCCAGGCTTTTTGCAGGAAATGATTTGGCCACCGTCGCCGCAATAAAAACACTCGTCCTCTCGCTCCTTAACCACCTCCAGCTGACTCTTCCGCTTCCCAGTAACCTTCTTCCTCAGCTTGCGGCCCTTGTCTTCTGATGGTGGCTGGTTCTATGACAGACACAGATGTGTGTGTTATTAGACTAAACCCAATGTACGAAACTCAGTCTGAAACTAGTTTACGAAATAAATGAACCTGGAATCACACTATCCGTAATGTGGGCAGTCAATTTTCCTTCTAGTGCTTCTCCCTGAAGTCTCTTTAAACAGAGAGGAACGACAGAGCAGTACACCACCCACCAGTGTCCAACATTCACCATTTTAATCACCTCTGACAGGTGTTTGTGCATGCGAGACTATGCGAGGCACCAGATCAGGGGTCGCAACCCAAATTTTAAGAGACATTTTGTCCTTTCAACAAAAATCAAACCACCTTGGGAGCCACAACATTCTATGTCCATTTTCCCATCTTGGCTGTAAATATGTCTCAGTATGTGCTGATGTGTTAGTATAGGTTAAAAATATAATATAAACAAAAACAGACTTGCTCTGCTTTAAGCTTTAGCACAGATACAGCCACTTTCACATCTCTGGCAGGAAACTTTTCCTCAAAAGTAGAAAAGCTTCTTGTAAAATGTCTCAACGCTTTTTTTTTTTTTTCGAGGCTAAAGTCGCTTCTCATTCACCGGCTCCTTGTTCAAATTTTTCCAATCCACCTTAAATGGTGCCTGAGGCGCCAGAATGTAACCGCTGCACCATTTAAGGTGGAACGGGAAAATTCGAACGAGAAGCAGACTTCAGACTTTTTAGTGTGTGACAATTTATTTTAGCAGATTAAATGTTTTAGGAAACCAGCTGGAGTGATTATAATTACAAATAAGTCAGTTCGTCTCCAAATTATTGGAGTCCGTCTTAAATCTTTCTCTCTGTCTTTTCGTTGGCTACTAGCTAGGTGAGACTGTTGCCATTGCTATGGTGACCAGCAGTCTGTGCGCCAACCTTCAGGGTTAAAGGGTGAACTAGTAGTTCCACATTAAATCCAGTGTTTAAGACCATTTACTGCTAAAACTGTGTTGAACGACCAGCAGAGCTTTATTTTACTGCAAAGAAGATTATTTTATCTAATTCTGCTGTGGAGCCGCAACAAGGCAGTAAAAGAGCCGCATGCTGTCGACACCTGCACTAGGTAAAAGCACGCAATGCCATGTTTTTAATGAAACACACACATACACTTTACCTATTTATTTTTCGGTACATATTTTTATTTGGAACAGCTCGCACTTAAACCATTCCCTGCTATCTAATATACTTGAACCTGTGCTGTATACGGTTCTTATTAAATTGTGTGTGTTTATGTTTTCTGTCTTCACGAAAGCATTTGCCAGAACAAATTCCTTGTAAGGTTCACTGCACTTTCTTCCTTGACCTTATAATTTCTCATAGAATAAAATCATTCTTAAGAAAGGAGGACTGCCCCTCCGCAATCTATTACCAGTGATCAATAATCACTACGTACCTTAGGTCGCACCCCGAGGAAGCCACTGCAATTTGGCGCCCCGCATTTACAGACTGTCTTGCCGTTGCCCAGGCACTCCAGGTTGTAGTTGAAGGTGAGCTCAACACCTGCCAAGCAGTCAGAAACACGTTTAAACACCACTGCGCCAGAGAGACTGCAGTCTGCTCTAGCAGTAAGCTTCTCCACCAGGGTCAGCAATGCTGATACCGTATCAGGTCTTAGTAATTTTGTTATCAGTTGGACAGGACTGTCCTAGACACAAAAAACAAGACAATTCCTCAAGCAAAATATACAAATCTGAATGTACTATGATAGAAAGGTTGGCATAAACATCAGTATTCAAATACATTTTATTTATTTAGAAATTTCCGCTGCATTCATTTTCCCAAAACAGCTTCCCAGAACCATGGGTGCCTCCCCGAGGGAAACATGTCACTGGAGTATGATGAAGAAACACCACTCTGAAGTGCATCACACCTACGTCACACAAGTGGCCACTCACAGTACAAGGGGAGGAGCTCTCCCTCAGCTGGGTTATTCTCAGTGAGCACTTTTTCGAGATGTCTGAACATGGCATACATCTTTTTTTTTCAGTACTCACTGTCTGGCTATAAGCTTTGGTATAGACTCATGATGTATCGCCTTTATTTTGTATGTGTTAACCATGTAGCCTTTAGGGCGCTAACTGGAAAGCTAGCAGAGTAACGGTGTTGTGTCAGCAGCCATGTAGAACAGATGGACAAGTCTGCTACCTTAAACACAGACTGAACAACACAAATACAAGCGTTTTAAAGTATTTTATAAAACGGACAGTTCCGGTCCTAAAATCTGATTGGCTGAGCCGCATTCGAAGCCATTTTGAAATCCACGATATACCACGGCTATGACCGCCTCACAGCAACTGAACTCTGTATCACTGCGCCACGACACTAAAACCCTTCTGCTGCTAATGGATTAATCTTTGACTCTAATGCTGATCACACGGAGCACCGAGTGAACTGATGAAATAAGAACCAGTTTTTATTTAAACTGAGGGGCTGAAAACTTATTTTCTTATCTAGAACTGGGCTGAAAGATAGCAAACATGCAAACAACTCCAACATTGATATCACAGGCTTGAATTAAAGTACTCTTAACATGATCCACTAAAAAAATACAAAAGTCTAAAGAATGTCTCCTGAATGTCTCACACGCTTCAGATGTCCGTGTTTCAGTCAGAAGTAGCATCAAACCCAGGATGAATCCCAAACGGCTCCGTACTCCCTAGCTAAATAGTGCACTGCCTGTCGAATATGAATGTGGATGAATCCCAAATGACCATTTTTAGCGATATTTTTTATTGTTGGGCTGCAGGATCCAGTATTTAAATTCCTACGTAGTGCACTATGTAGGGAGCAGGGAGCTGTTTGAGATTCAGCCCCAGCTTGAGAAAAGTGGCGTCGTCAGACTGGCAGAGGACTCACAGTTGTAATTTGGTGACCAAAATTACTTATAAACAAAATTTTTTGCATTAAACAGTGCTGTGATATCATATTTCACTGTTATACGAAAAAAGATCATGAAATGTCTGCAATTTACATATATAGTACAGTATATATAGTGATTGGCAATTTTTCTCCTAATTCAGTGGTTAATAGTTGCTTAGCAGTGATACCGTACTCTAAAGGAACTACATTTCTTGGTGGAATAATTGTTTGTAAATTATTATCAATAATAACTTAAATAATTATCAAAAACATTGTGTATTTTAATATATTTTATGTTGGCCATCGTTTTATAAATGCGGTAAGCCAGGCAGTGCACTACTTTTGCTTTGCTTTGCCTCGTGCCAAAGAACACCTTTCCCCTTGATAAAATCGCAGTAACCTCTCGTGGCTTATTGCCTTATTATTGCTATGACTTACAACAGCAAGCTTGTCCTGACACAAAACGAAAATGTGTCATCTCGTCAACACATCAGGATTTCGGGTCAAGATATGCTGCCAAAGTCAGCACTTGTGTTCAGTCGCTCCCTCACCTCTCTGAGGCCTCGTCTAACATGTTTCACTTGAACTAAAAGTAACGGTTCTTAAGTTAATTTTGGGGATTTCCCAGTGGGGAAACTGGACGAGAGCTTGTTAAAACCAGTACTGAAACTGATCTTTGTGCATCCCTAAACTGAATTAATACTGCATATGCTGTTCGAAGTCACTTTATAGGGCTGTACTCCCACCTGCACCAACATCCTCCAGAGCGAACAGCCCCACTCGCGTGTCCCCGTTCACCGTCCACTTCTGCGTTTCGCAGTTCGGCTGGCAGCTGTGGTTCATGAAGCGTGCCTGGTTCCCCTTTGGCCCTGCATCAATGATGCGGTCCTGCAGGCAGGAAAAGAGCACAACTCAGCAGGACACAATGAGGGGGAGGGGGAGACTGTGGCTTAGCACCCAGTGGCACCCAGAGAGAGCAATAAAATATTTAGATATAGATCTCCACAGAGAGAAGTACTGTATGCAAATGGAGACTGAAGGAGTAACAAGCGTTATGAGAAAGATGCTGTGTTAGACATTAGAATGACTGTTTGTGTTAAGAAAGGTTATTAAAGACATTATGAGGTAAACAACACTTAATGCACAACGCATGAACGCTGCCTGTTAACACAGTATCGTTGCTGTCAGAAAAAAACCTCATATCTCCAAAATAAGAACTTTACAGGAGAAGGAAAAAAAACATCCTTCACTTTTAATGTAAGTCTGTGGAACCAGACGTTTTTCCAAGACATTTTGGGTCGTTTCTTTTGGTCCAATCATTATGAAATTTACACACAATGTAAAGAACAATTTCGAATTTTGTCAAAAACTGAAAAATGATAAAAACGGAGATGCACAGACTTTACTGTTATATATCAAGGGCATCAACTGAAGTAAGTCTTATCGTTATTCTAGACAAACAAGCTGCAGTGTAATTCTTGCTTTTACTGTCAAACGAACTGAAGTTCAGTTCAGTACAGTGCAGATGAGGCTTCTCACTTTTTGGCTGTGGTCTAAAGGCTTTAGCCTTGATTTTTATCCTTTTTTTAAACCACTGAGAGATCAACATGCTATGTATGTAGACTTCAAGAGCATTCCGGAGACCTTTTAGTTCACAGCTTTCTGAAATTTTGGGTGTAATGACAGAAAGGTTAGTAAGAACTTCACAGGGTCTGCCGCTGCCATTGAAAACACCATATGTGACAAAAGCTTGTCAGGCCTAGCAACAGTAACCTAAGAAACAGGGCTCAGAGAACGGCCAGATGGGAAACTGCAATTTATGTCCTTTAGACTCTATTCTTATGCACGCTGGATTAATTCTGAGTGCTTGATGACAGCTTTAAATAAAGGGTATTAACATCTATACTGAGTGAACCATACCAGCCTTTTCATACACAGTCCAGGGAACATCAATTGATTACATATTTGACTGTTCGGCTGTTTTTGTCCAGCTGTGTGTTGCCGGATCGTTAGTTCATGTGTGAGAGCTAACAGAAGATCTAGAGTTGATTCCAGACGTGAAGTTTTTGTTGCTGCAGATCAAAGGAGAAGAAACGACAGTGGTAGTAAAGCAGGTCATCAAGAAGCTGAACAGTCAGAGAGGCTTGCCTTGTCTAGTGTGAGCATATAGAAGTTGCTGATGTCGTTCTCCTGCGCGTGTTTGATCCTGGCACGACACTCCTCCTCGTCGATGACCTCACCCACATACTCGCTCACAAAGGCACCCTGAGAAAGCAGAAAAGGGTCATGTCAAACTTACTGTTTCTGACCTACAGCTAAAGCAGTAACCAGTCATGAAATGCCTGGAGTGAAGTTTTTTTTTGCTGTTTAAAACTAGAGCGACAACGCAAAACACTGGTACACTGGAACTCAATAGTCACCCAAATAGACCACATAGTTTCTGTTGAAATACATCCCCAAAACTTTTCTCAGCCCGCTCAGGTCTTCATCAGACTTGTCGATGCGGTTTGGAGCACAAAATGACTTCCTGTGAATTAAAAAAAATTTGCAAAACTTCACCGCCAAAGGCAGCAACTCCACACAACAAGACTGGTAACTGAAAAGCAGGACTGACCTTGAACAACTCCTTCGTATTTATGATGCTCGTTGTCACAAATACTGATTCTAGATCAGCACTGCGACTGCTGAGGTGGTTTGTATATACAAACCCTGTTGTCTAAACTGCCCGCAGTTTGGTTTATTTTTATAGTTCATAGTAAGTCATACTGTGTCCTAAACCACATAGACAAGCCTGCACGACTTTAATGAAGACCTGGACGGTTTGAACGGGTTGAAAAGGATTTAGTGATGTATTTTGACAGACATGAATTGGACTATTTGGTTGACTATTGAGTCCTAGTGTTTGTTAGCAATGTTAGATGAAGACGAAAACTGTCAATATTATTATTATTGTTATTATTAGTATTATTATTGTTATTATTATTGTTTATCAAAGGAGCAAAATCCCCCACCTTCTTGATGTCGGAGATGCTGCGTAGCCCCCAGCCGCGAGACAGCGTGCGGAAGATCTCCACTGGGCTGTACTGGCGTTTGGTGAAACACTGGTTCTGACAGCGCTCTCCAGCCGCACACACCTGCGGGTGGCACTCGTACATCAGCATTCGGTTGATGCACTCCGAGTCGATGCCGCACGGGTTCTCGTCCGAGGCCTTACAATTACAGCGAGGGATCTCAGACAGGTCCGCCGTCAAAATCTGCACCTTCCCTATTGGCCTGTTTACCTGAAAGAAATCGTTTGGGCAACAGGTACATAACCTGGTAAGCATGAGTCAGAGTTTAAAACATGAGTCACCTCTGTGAAAAACAAAAAGCATGACAAGAAATACAACCTGGAGGGAAAGTTCTCTTTTATTTTCACACCATCAAACAAGACTCCTTTAAGACCAACACTTACCTGCTTTAGGCAAGGGACATATCATACCACGTTAGGTACAACGTAGGTGTATGGAGAAGGACATATCTACACTTTTTATGGGGAGTAGGAAGCAGCTTTAATAGATTTTATTGGGGCGGGATGACTATACTTCCATGTTTCTGTATTTCCACAATAAATTAACCGTATACTGAATAACGGGATGGGGATTGAGATTTTAGTTCTTCAACCTCTTCGAATTCTCTCTCTGAAAACCAGCGAGCTACTGACATTCTTAGCAGTTCTAAACAGAATCTCAAAACTTTTTAAATTAGTTTTTAAATTAGTTTTTAATTCTGTTAAACTTTTTATCCTTTGCAGGGTTTCTATGTATTTATTACAGCTCTGTTTTTTTTTTTAAGTCCATTTCAACTGAATTTCAATATTGCTTCTAATTAGGGTTTTAATTCTATTACGCATATTCTAACTTTTCAGTTAACTTCTATTTCCAATCAAAACTAATCACCTCTGTCACATCACATTTACACAGGTGCGAAGGTGAGTGAAAATCCTGGGTGCCTACCCCCCCCTTGTAGAACTTAAATACAAAAATACAAGAAAAAAAGAAAAATTGTTGTATTTTGAGTTATTATTTTAAGTGTTATATAGAGTCAAAAGATAGGTTTAAACACCCTAGGCCCAATTAGGTTTTGTTTATTGTCTAAGTAAAACCCAAGAGAACAAACTTATTTATGGCATTTACCTTCCATACGTTTTAATTTAATCTCTGGGCGTTTTGGTAGCATGGGACGTACCTTTATGTGCCTGTACGGCGGGGGCTTTTTGTCGTTTTTCCTGTCCTCCTGAAGCTGCCTCATCTCCTTCTCAGCCTGCAGCTCTCTGAACCGCTCAGCTGCCTCATTTAAAGCTAAACAAAATCACAACAACAGCATCAGTCTTCTGCTCAGCTCACAGGTCATTCTATTAAACCTAGTGTCCAGTTCCAGCTCAGTACCGTCTCTGCTCAGGCACTCAGTTCAATTAATTAGCAAATGTGTCTCTCAGGGATTCACTGAGCAGGCCAGGACTGAACTGGCACCCCTTTACTGAATGTTCACCTTTCTTGTAAACAGCGTCTGTGCCCTTTCCCATCTTCTCCTTGTTGTTGGCGTCGCCCTCCATGTAGGGGAAGCAGCGGGCCTGGTAGGTCCACACGTAGTCTTTGGAGCCGAAGAAGTGCACAGGGAACTCGCCCACCTCATGCCTCATGCGGATGATATTCTCAGGAACGTTTTTAGGTAGGCTGACCTCAGCAGGCCACCACCTGCACAGCCCAAAAACCATGGCAGTGGAAAGTTTAAACGTAGTATTTGAATGTCAAAAGGACATCGTTTGTTTTGGAAATGAATGCTGGCGCTCCGCCAGGACAACACCAACCTGTAGCGGCCTACTTTCACCCACAGGATGTCCTTATAATGGGGTTTCTTGCCTGCTCGACAGTCATTGCAGTACCAGCTGCCCTGAGGCATGTCGATGTTCAGACACTCGCGATGGAAAGCAGCAGGGCAGGACTCACAGCACAGCAGACTGCCCCCTACAGAACAGGAGAAGTATTACACCACAGCACATTACAGAACGCATCTTCCAAACCGAGCTCGATATCGCTGCAGTTTCATACAAACACTGGATTTAGTTCTAACCACACTCTAAAGGTCTAATATTTAGATGGTCCTCAGTTTTAACGCTTTTAGGGCCCCCACGGTGAACAGACCTTAAAACACCCGTCCTGAAATGTTATATTAATGATTTCTTAACAGCTTATTGAAGCATGCAGAGGAAATCAGTTGGAAATGTGGATTATAAACTTTCAATTCAAACCGCATTTGTGCATATAAGTACAAGAGCAGATGTTTTATTATGAAAAAAGTTGTGTATTTTTGTGAATTCAGTCTGTTTTTGCAGGAGAAACAACAACCACAACAACCACAGTCACCACACAACCACCACAACAACCACCACAACATCCTTTGCCCCCCACCCCGGTTTGTTTTTTGACATTGAAACAAACAGGAAAGTAGTACACAAAGAAAACACTGCTCACCATTAGGGGTGTAAGAAAATACTGATACACTTGAGTATCGCGATATTATGCTTTGTGATACTGTATCGATTCTCAAACACACAGTATCGACTTTTATTTTTAATTACTAGTTTACATGCATTTAGATTCCGACAGACCGTGGTTCATTTGTGTTAATGGTGCCAGTGTTGCAGTCCATCTTCAACCATTAGACTCTTCCACTTCAACATAAACAAGCAGCGTAAGGGCGCACCGCTAACGTCAGCTATAGCAAACCTAGTTAGCTGACTAGTGTCGCTACAGCCGATGGCTGAATCCTAAAGACAAAGACTGGTGTTCTAACAAGCTGCCCTACCTATCGAGCGAGCATTCTTATACCATTACTAAAGCGTAGTAACTTGCTTTTAAATGTTAATTCAGCCATACTTCAGCCTATTGTACAATCTTTTGTACTGTCCAGCTTAATATAAGCTGATTTAGGCGATCAGAATATCCTACTTATTCTATTAATACTGGTAACATTTTCTGATAAAGAGGTTTAGATGATGTTGAAGCCATTCACCAGCTTCCTGTTTGAACTTTCCTGTTCCACCTTAAATGGAGCCATAGTTACATTCTGGCGCTTAAGGTGTTGTAATAATAATAATAATAATAATTGCTGTACCATTTAAGGTGGAATGGGAAAATCAAACAAGAAGCTGGTGAATATGAAGCTGACTTCAGTCAAATCAAAATGTCCTACCTATGGTTTTCTGTAGGGAGCTACTATATTTATGCCCTACAGTAGGACATTTCGGCAAGGCACAACAATGAGTCAGAACAAAGCTCCTGTAATACGCTGAACACGCTGGAGCCTCATTACACCGTCCCCTCACGACAACACATCACTGACATGGCTGTGCCCAAGCTGTCCAAGGAGGTAAAAACGAGCTTATTTTTTTTTACTGCGAGAAGCAAATATTAATATCTTTGCTCAGATTGCACAAAAAATAGTGCTATGATGTCGGATGTTACAGGGACTGTGACAAACGCAAATGCAGATCTCACTGTTCTGATTGCATAAATAGTAAACTTTCTTTTACTCAGAGTTTTTTTTATGACAGTTTTTTTAAAATTAAATAAAAAAAATGGCAATAGATCATCTTGCTTACAATACCGCGTTATATTGAATCGTAACCCCTGTATCGTAATACATATCGTATCACCAGGTTCTTGCCAACACACAGCCCTACCCACCAAAATAACTAGACAGCTTTTGTATTTGTGCATGACTGGTGCTTGCAAAGCATAGTAGTTTGAATATTTTTCCTGCTATAGATTTTTAGTTATGCATTTTAGCTCAAAAATGGACTGGGAAGAAACTGGGAAGAAGTCAAGAAAATGTCTGAGAAAGAACTGGAAGTGATGCGATACCTTCAGAGCAGACGAAGCACCAGCTGACGTTGATGTGTTCGTGGTTTTTGCAGCCTTTGCGGGGAGTGAAGTGGTTTGGACAAAGAAAGCTGTTGTTGGCCAGCGGGACGCTGCCAGCAGCCATGCAGTAGTCGTTAGCGTGGTAGGCCACCGGACAGCGCACGCAGCGGGTCAGACGACCTGTGGTGCACAGACACAGGACACAGAGAGTGAGACACAGAGGAAGAACCTTTCAAGATCTGATCACAAAAACACACTCCAAACGGGAGAGACGTTAAATCTAGCAATCCACAGTCCCGTTTATTATATGTACTTTCATTCTTGCTGTCCTCACATGGCACGCAAGTCAAACCCGGTCAAAATTTCTGTTACTGTGAAAAGCCAAGAAAAGATGATCTGATTTTCAAAAGGCATAAATTTAAACATGAGCTTTTCTTTTTTTATTTCCATATTTTACATTTTTCAGATAACAAAAGAGCAAAAGTTTGGGCACCCTGCATGGTCAGTACTTAGTAACACACCCTTTGGTAAGAATTGCAGCTTGTAAACACTTTTTGTAGCCAGCCAAGAACCTTTCAATTCTTGTTTGGGGGATTTTTGGCCATTTTTCTTTTGCAAAAGTCTTCTAGTTTTCTAAGATCCACTCCTGTGCTTAACAGTTGGAGGGGCTTTCTTTTCATGAAATTCTGCACGTTTTTTTTTTTTCCTCCAACATACCTTTATTCATTACGGCCAAAAAGTTCTATTTTAACTTTGTTAACTGAATGTTGTGGTAAGGACACAGGAAAGGTTTTCTTCTGACGACTTCCATGAATATCTTCATATTTGTTCAGGTGTCACTGCACAGTAAAATAGCGCACCACCATTCCAGAGTCTGCAGGTTCCTGAAGATCTTCTGCAGTCAAACAGGGGTTTTGATTTGTCTCTCAGCTCGACCTCCACCGTTCCTGTTACTTGCCGTTTCTTAACTACATTAAGAACTGAGGAAACAGCAAAGCATTTTCAGGTAGCTATCGTCTCATAGCCTTCACCGCTTCGTATGGATCGATTATTTTAATTTACAGAAATCTAGGCAGCTACTTAGAGGAGCTCATGGCTGCTGATTATTGGGAAAAGGCTTGAGGAGTCAGAGTATTTATAAAGCTTTGAAATTTCCATCACATTGCACACTGCATCCTAACGATCACTGTGAACAAAACTAAGCCCTAAAAAGCTGATCAAGGTCTGAGACTTTGGCAAAAGTTATCTGAGAGCTCAAATCTTTTGGGGCACTCAAACTTCTGCATGGTTCTCCTTCCTTTTTTTCCACTCTAAAATTGTACAAAACAAAAATAAGACACTAATCTTGATGAAAATGTTGAACGTTTCATCTTTACGCCTTTTGGAGATCAGTTCGTCCTCTACTCACTTAGCATGGCACAGTGACAAATTTTGACTAGGGTGCTCAAACTTTTGCACATCACCGTAGCATTAATTAGCAGCTTAGCGTACACCACCTACATTGCGTGGCATACTGTAACTATGCAAACACAAACACTGGCCTTTACTTAGATCAGGGGCAAAAAGCTGGACATGTACTTTCCTCTGTTATCTGCTGTTCAGTCATTGTTTCTTTTTTCACTGTGTTCATTTGAATTCCTTTCACTTCCTCACCCAGATAAAGTGTATCGAATTTCATTCTTTTCTGAAAATGTGCTGCACATGTACGAACTAAGTGACCTCTACCCGACCTCAAACGTGCCACAGCTCTTCCCAGACACACTCTAAGCCTATGCTAAGCGGAGGGCGTCTCTCTCACCCTTGGAGATGGAGGGGTTGTTGGGGTTGGTGATGTAGCAGGCCAGGCAGACATGGAGAGAGCAGCGGAAGCCTCGGTTCTGTGGGACGGTGGGGGCGTATTTCAGAATGCACTCCGCGTGGTAAAACTTCCCGCACACCGGAATCATACACCGCCTGACGTCCTCTCCGGGCTTCTTGCACACAAAACACGTGTGCACACCTTGAAAAGAGAACAAGAACAAATTCAGAGCTTAACAACCTTAAAAAAATCATTTTAGTAATGCTGATGATAAAATCGGCACTAGTCGCTGCCCAGAAAAATAATTTGGTAAATAATTTGGTGAATAATTTCACCAGCTTTTAATAATTTCATTGCTTCATTGATCAAGGACACACATGGAGAAAGCCCACCTGTAAAGCACTACTGAAGACACACACTGATGGTCTTTTTCTAATTCCTCACACATCAGTGTGGGACAGCAGAACATGCTTGGAGAAAAAAAGCTAACTAGCCAATTCTGTACAGCCTAAAATTGACTACCATGAACTAAAACACACTGAAGTGACAATTTAGCAAAAACTCTCCTTACATGTTGGTGAGATTTCTGGCACTGTATGACAGTTATCTACTAACATGGTCAAAAGTACAATATGGTGACTAATAATGTTTTTTAGCTATGCAAGGAACTTCTGTCCATTTTTATTTATAACGGTGCGTCACAATGTCAGAAACAACATAAGTAAGTCTTTTTTAATATATTAATCTATTACTATTACAACACAACACTGCTTGAAACAGGTATGTGATGATTTTGTCCTGCAGCTTACTTGTTGGCCTCATCATAAACAAACCACCAGTCCAAAATTAGCTTCAGGAAAACTGTTCGAACTAATTCTTTTGCCAACTATCACTTCAACTATATGTGGCTTGTAGCTCCTCTGGACTGCACTCCTAAGGGAGAGTGGGGGTGGGTGAGCTTACCTGTAGTGCACTCCTGGCAGATGAAGCGCCCTTTGGGCATCTCGCTGAGGCCGATACACTGTAGATGAAAGGCTCCACAGCACTGCCCCTCACACAAGAGCAGCTCACCTGTCTTCTCACATACCTGAAGAAAACACAAATTAACGCACATAAAGGCATTTGTTAGACAACGACTCTGAACATTAACCCCCTTAAACACTCAGCTTATTACTAAAGCAATCTACTATGAATTACGTATTAACTACTACATGTACTGAAGAATGACAGCCTATACCTAAAGATGGATCCTTAGAGTTTAAGGGGTTTTAAATCTCACTTGCCAAAAAAAAACATCACAACATTGTTTAGTGCTTTTCCAAACTCTAACTCAACACCTATGCAATGGCAAATGAGCAAGGCCAAATAGTATAAACTGTGCACTTCACTGTGTTACTTACACAAAATGAGTCTAGACACTGTCTTTTTAACACATACATTGATCTTCGATCAATTACCTGACAAACGTTCTCTTTCAGTGATGCAGCTCCGCCTTTCTCTGACGGTTTCCTGCCATAAGACAGACCTACATCAACAGCAAAAGAATCCCTGGCTGAGAGAAGCCCCTCACTCAGTGTCGCCTACACAGGAAAGCAAAAAAAAACAAAAAAACAACAGGTTTCAGACAGTCATCATTTTCATCAGTGTCACATTTGTTTTTACATTCTTTAAGCCACGTGAGCAATTTAAAAGCCCTAATAACTAAGGCTACACAATACAGACACAGTACTGGTGTTACGATCTTCTCGCAATTTATTTAAAACATACTGGTAAATCAACAATGCAGCACGTTTGAAGACCTGCACTGTTCTGACCAAGAATAATCCACTTTTTTTTACATTACATAAATACTTTCATCTATCAAAACACAAACAAACGCAGTGGAACTGCAATCGGTCAGGCTGCTCACAGAAAACTCAGGGACTGGTCAGAGGGCTCATTTGCACAAAGCAGCCTTCTGTGGCATCTGTTTTACAAAAATGACTGGGTATCGTTCAGTTTATCATCACTGCCTTAACCAAGACCTTGGCTGCTAGACTAATGACGCCTAGACAAACCTCTTTAAGTCCTTCTTTTAAATTACAAACAGAAAGTGGGTGTGGCCTAAATCAGAAATGAATGCGAGCTGCTGGAAGTGGGTATATTTACAGTTCGCAACAGACTGCAGACTAATCAAGAAGTGCTGATGTATTTTCTTGCATACAGAATGTATTTTAGACAGCTAACCAGCAGGCTAGATTTTGCCAGATAAGGCATGCTGCTAATTGGCTCACGGAAGCTGATAAGACTGACTGCTCTGGTTTTGAATGATGAGTCTTTTAACACTCTCTACTATTCTATAAAAGCACTGAATTTCAGAAAATAGCCCTAATTAAATCATGCTGTCATCATAACAATTAAAGCATAACTTGTGCAATTCTACCAGCACCTTAATCAATTTTAAACTGATGCTTGGTGCTAATAGGGCCTTTTTAGATAGCAGGAACACCAACATACTGTTAGCATCCACATTTATCTGGTACTGTAGCACTGGGAGTTTCTGACCTCTGCTGTTACAGGCCCCGGCGTTTCGGGCTGGTTCTGCTCTGCTGTTTTGGGCTCAGCTGGACTGCGGCTGTGTCTAGTCTCACGACTCCGGAGGACGCTGGGTGTTACAGGTTGAGTCGAGGAGGGTGTCTGTGCATCACCTGGTCCAGGTTTGATACCTTGAGACAACAAGCGACACATAGAATTCAACAAACAATTTGGCAGAAGAGCAACAAAATGAGTCTATTACTAGTTAAACGGTTAAACGTTCACTATTAAACTATGAAAAATGCAAGGAAAAAGGGTGAATTACCTGACATGGAAGGTGGGCTGGACAGAGTGGTTCCAGGCACTTCATTTTTCTATGGTTAAGAAGGAGAAAAAGCCAAAGTGAAGTCTCAAAATGTCTGAGCAAAATCTTTAGCTCAAATTGAAACAATTTATGTTATTATTATTATTACTACTACAACAAAAAGTTGGGAACCTGTGCAAAATGTAAATAAAAACAAAATGCAATGATGTGCAAATCATTCAAACCCCCTTATGTAATTGAAAATAGTACAAAGACAACATATCAAATGTTGAAACTACAACAGTGTCTCCTCACTTCCAAATGCACACAAGTTTTGTTAAAAGAAGAGGTGATGAAACACGGTAAAACATGCCCCATCCCAACTTTTTTGGAACTTGTTGTTGGCATCAAATTCAAAATGGGCATATATTTTTTGCAAAACAATAAAATTTCTCACTTGCAACATTTGATATGTTGCCTTTGTAGTATTTTCCTTTAAAAAATACGGCTTGCATGATTTGTATATCATTGCATTTTATTTTTATTTAGATTCTGCACAGCATCCCAACTTTTTAGAAATGGGGATGTAATAATAATAATAATAATAATAATACTACATTACCTGAAAAACTTTGACATCTGATTGCTCTGTCCAATTACCCTGTTGCTTAGACTCCTAATTAAGTAAAAAAGAAAACACATATGGTAAGTAATAATGACCAATTCATTGACTCTTCTTAAAACGAACAACAGTAAACTGTTCTCACCTTCTTCTTTGGGATCCTGATTTGTTCCTCCTCGATGGCACACTCCATTACTTTATGGGTGGGCTTCCTTGGTCTTTTTCTTTCTGAAGATGCTGTAAGATTAAGTTCTTGTTATAAACAGCATGGCACGTAATACTGGCACAAAGCAAAATACACATCAGTGCTGTCGGAACAAAACCTTGTATCTCCATTTTTGTCGTTTTTCAGTTTTTGACATAATTTGAAAGTATCCATGGTCCTATAAATTGTGTAAATTTAATGATGAATGGACCAACACAAATGACCTAAACTTACTTGGAAAACACTCTGGTCCCACTGACTTATATTAGAAGTAGAGTATGTTTTTCCTTCTCCTGTAAAGTTAACATTTTGGAGATTTTTGATCCGACAACAGCGATACGCTGACATAAAGCACTTACCAGCTTTCTTGTCGGGCAATTCTGCTTCTTGTGCGGGAGCTTTGTCAGGTGTTGATGAGGGCAGTAAAGAAGGGATGTTATCAGGCTCATCTGGAGTCGGCTGCTGCTGATGCTGAGATGGTTCTGTTGCTGAAGCCTCTAATAGCTGACCTGCAGCTGAGCTTACACAGTCAGCCGTCTGAGGTTCTGAAGGCTGCTGGCCAAAATTAGTGTTATTAATCCAAGCCCCCTGCAAGGAAGTGTGAGATGTTATTAGTGTACGCCACAGTTGCTTGTTCTACACACCACCAAAGCAGCCAAAATAATTCATTCATAAAGTCCTGCTTTAAGAAACGGCCTCGTCTTACTGTTTTAGAGCACTCGGTGGTTTTCTTTGATTTCTTCTTTGGAGTGTAAATCTGCTTATACTCCTCACCACACTCGATCAGCCTCTTACTTGGCTTCCGAAGCCTTTTGCTCTCTGAGATAGACGGCACAGAGAAGAAAAAAAGAGAATAAAATAGTCAAACATCAAGTCTCATATTGCTCAGTCATGCTCTGTTGTTGGTGGGTCATGAACGCAGAATTCAGTCATATGCTTGTTGACAAAAATAATTTTCGTTCAATCATGGCAAAATTATTCAGAGGGCCTACATAACCTCTGGGGCAGTCATGGGCTGGAGGTTAGGGAACCAGCCTTGTGACTGAAAGGTCACCGGCTCGATCCCCTGAGCCGACAGTACGTGACTGAACCCCCAACTGGTCCCCGGGCGCTGTGGATAGGGCTGCCCACCGCTCTGGGCAAGGGTGCTCACTGCCCCCTAGTGTGTCTGCATTCACTAGTGTGTACGTGGTGTTTCACTGCACGCACGGGTTAAATGCGGAAGTGAAATTTCCCCGTTGTGGGAGTAATAAGGGTCACTAAACTTAAACTTAAAAATTTAACACTGCATGCAAGGGGAAATTTTATACCCTGTTTAGATGCTGGTGGATTCTGCTTAGCATTCATTTTGGTAAGTTTTCCAACTGCCAGTGTGTAAAATCAGTACTCTGGTGTTTAATGTGAGGTGGCTGTATTGGTCAATAATGCTGGACGGTTTAATCCGAATGCACAGATGAGTCTGGTTTGGGCTTTTACTGAGATGAATTTTGTGAGACGAACTTTACTTTGTGAATGTGAAAACTCGTACATTCATAGACCTTGAGACTTGACAGCTATGCAGTCTCACAGTAATCCCTGCTCCTGGAGATCTACCTTCCTGCAGAATTTAGTTCCCACTCAAATCCAACATGCCTCTCCCCCTTACCTACCTAACACTACTGCATCTAATTCAGCCAATGACAGACTTATTTAGCTGGAGCAGGAGTGAGTTGAACTGGACTCTGCAGGAAGGTCTATCTCCAGGACCAGGTTTGGTGACCACTGCGCTACACAGAGTGATTCAGAAAGATTTATCCGATTTCAAAGCGCCATATTTTTACAACCGTGAGGCGCCTAGGAACCAATCACATACCAATTGAAAGAGGGGGTTATAGAGTTTCGGAAGATGGCTCCCTTCAGTCTGAGAGGAGATGGAGACCCCTGAGCAGAAAGCGTTTTGCATTTTCTACTTCAATAAGAGTGAATCAGTCATAACTGTGCAACGTGATTTTCGTCAGCAGTGAATCTCCAACAGCTCAGAGCGTTCGTCGTTGGTTCCACAACACTGGATGATCTCCGAAATCACACTGAGAGAGCTGTGAGTACAGCGACACCCGACATGCTCAATCGAGTGTGGGATGAATTTGACTATGGCGTTCATGTCTGTACAGCTGGAGAAGGTTCATACTGAGCACTTGTAAAATTACATAATAAACTTTATGCTCATTTAAACCATTTAAAGTTTACTGCATTGTTCTGTAATGACTTACAAGTGAAATAAATCATTTTGAAATCAGATGAATTTCACAATGCTTAGTTTCAACACCAACCTCTGAGAAGTAAAGGATGCAGTCACTAGCAGTGATGTCCACTCCAAGAATTCACTGCCCATTTGACCAGTTACAAGTATTAGTCACTGATAATGTAACCTAATAACATGAGCTTTTAACCAAATATAACCAGGGCACTCACCAGAGCCTTCTTTCTTCTCTGCAGAACAGGACTGGAGGCTTTGGAGGGTTTCCTCAAACACTCCATTGAGCCTGGACAGTATCTTGGTTGCATCCTGTTCCAGCACGCTGCCTTCACTGCTCTTTGGCTTGGCACTCTCTCCAGCTTCGGCCTCAAATGTCTGCCAGCGCTTCTTTGGGGCCACAGTGGAGAAAATGCCCCTACCACCAGCCTCAGGGGCAGCCTCGGTGTGGCAGTTCAAAAGCTCCTCTGGTACAGTTGCTTTTGCTTCAAGTGCTTCAGATGAGTTCTGCTTCTTAAGTGGCTTGCTGGAGTTTGAAACCTGAGAAAGCACATTGCTCCCATCGTCCTGCTTCTGAGCCTCCTTTTTCCCTGTAGCCTTAGTTTTGGGTTTGCTCTGCTTTGTGCTGCTGGCAGGCGCCTTCACATGTGGTCCGTTCTGAATCGGGACCGTCACCTGGTCCTTCTCGAGAACGCTGTCATCTGGAGTCGTGGAGGGATCAGAGAGCAGTGTGGGGATCATCGAGGGCTCCTGCTTGATGAGCGCGGAGGGCGAGGTTGGCGGGAGGGTCAGCGGCCTTCCCTCTTTCTCTCGGCTGTCGTGCAGGTCCTTCAACAGCATGAGGAAAGTGCTGAACTTGAAGTTGGAGTCGGCGCGTAGGGGGGGCTCATCGGGGACGCACTCCTCCTTCACCAGGGACTTGAATGACAGCTCTTGGGCATCCCTGAATGAAGCTTCAATGGGCGAGGGGGACGGAGAGGGGGCATAGGAGGAGGAAGAGGAGCACGAAATGACTGCTTCTTTCTCCGTTTTGACCAGGCTGATCAGAGAATCCGAAGGTTCGGCCTTGGGCTCTTTAGTTTTTAAGTGTGGTCCATTCTGGACGCGCTTCTTTTTGGACCGAACTCTAGTCAGCTTCAGGAGGGTGGGGTTTGGGGAGCCTCCATGGTGATCAGAGATGGCCAGGTGCGTAGGGTCCTCTAAAGCCTCTGTTTTCACCTGCCAATGCTGCTCTGTGCTCTCAGGCAGGTCTGTGATTGGAGAAAACGAATCGTGGTCAGTTGCAGAGGGCGGAGATGGGGATGAAGATTCACGGCTGGAATTGTGACCGTCTTTGTCGTCAGTGTCATCACAGGCAGCGAGAGCCCTGGACATGAGCCCACAACTCGCTGGCAAGTAGAAAGAATGCATCTCAAATGTCCCATCCGACAAGCTAGGGGAAGTGCTTCCCAAGCGCTTGCCGTTTGAAGCCTTGTGCTCAAGCAGAGCCTTGCTGCTCGGTGTGCGTTTTGAGGCAGATGCATTTCCTTTCCCCATCTTCTGGACCTTTTTTTGTTTTTTTCTTGCACGCTCTACCTTCGGCTCAGGGCTGGGCTCTTTTTCCAGCCCGGCTTCCGGTTGCTCATCCGAGCGTTTTGGACACAGTATCCTTGGAACCGAATCAATGTCCAGGTATGGACAATCCCTAGCATCTGATTCCAAATCGTTTGTGGATGGTTTGTGAATGTCTGCCGCGGGGCTGGACATCAGCCTGGAGAACAATCCATCTTTCATTTTCAAGGGGCTTTTCAACAGTGAGTTGTTTTTCTTCTTAGCTGCCGATTTCTTTTTGCTTGGTTCTTTGCTGGCTTTGGGCGGGCTGGGGATATGGAGGTCGTGTCCGTTGGCAAAAACAGGACTGGGTGAGGGCAGAGGACGTATAGCAGAGCAGGTTAACGAGGTGAGCGTCTTCTCCTCCGTAACAGGTGTGCGTACATCCCTGACAGAGGCAGGTAGTAGCTTACTGCTGAGAGGCTCCGGCAGAGCTGCCTCTGCCTCCTGAACCCCGGTTTTCCACTGTGGCATCAACCGCTTTGGAACCTGTGGCACAGGCAAAGAAATTAGGCCTCAAGCAATAAAATAACTGCCTGTCAAGCGTTAATCTAGGAATATCTAACCTTTCAAAAAGTCTTTAACAGAGTCGGTTTGAAATAATTCTAGCTTGTCAAAACCCACGGCTTTAATAAGCAGTGAATAAATGGATAAGGCGATGAATGTCAGACGTTACTGTGTATTTGTAGCCCTTGTCTCTTTGTCTGCCTCGTCGTCTGAGCACGGGGAGTTTCTCAAACTGATGACCTCCTTCAAAAGGATAAGTGGCTTTTCCAGAAACCCATGCTTGGTCCACAATGTCCCCAAATGTCCTGACAAAATACAGACGGCACGGCCTGCGACTTGGCTCTGAAAGATCACATCACACGAAAACCAAAACTGTGAGACTTAATAGACCTAATGCCCAGAGCTAATAAGATTCACTCGAATTATAGCTCCAAATACACTGTTAGAAATAAAGGTTCTGTAAGGTACGTTTTTCGTTCATCAAGGTACAAACAATGTAAATGTACCTCAAAAGGTACAACAGTGGTTTTAAATAACCTTAAATAAGTTTTTCCAGGTGAAAAGTTCGTATTTGTACATTTTCATAACCGGATGTTTTAAACAGATCAATAAAATAAAAGCCTGGAGACGAGACGGGGTGTGTGGAGTCAGTACAGCTTAGAAAATATCATTTCAGTGGATTATGGTTCAGTTATGTTCCCTGACTAAAGGTACTGACATGTACCCTTGAGGGTACCACCCCAGTGACAAGAGGGGTCCTGCCCCAGTGACAGTTTACTACCTTCATTTCTGAGAGCGTACTGCCACACTAGCAACAGCACTGGAAGAAATATCCATTATATCACAGGCACAGAAGAGATCAGGAGCAGTAACCTTTCATCCTGGTGTGACTCTCACTCAGTGGCTCTATAGACACCCGGCAGGGCCACCAGGGCCTACGGTTAAACTTCGCCCATACGACATCACCCACTGCATACTTCACTCCGGGGAGAGGCTTCTTCTTTGGGCTGTTAGACTGTAAAGAATAACAACAAACAGTAAGTCCATATTACACAAAGACCGTCCTGATCTTACAGACGAAGGACATTGTTTTTGTTTCTTTGACATTTATCTACCAGCCAAACACTGACCAAACACAGGCTGCATCAGCTCAGGCGAAATATACCACTGTGTAAACATTTCTGTGTCAAAACAATCTTTGTACATCTGCTCGCCTTTTTTAAAATAAAGCGGCAGACTCTATTGACCCACAGTGGGCTCTGTCCACATGAACCTGGCACCAGAACTCAGTAAGACTACTTATTACTTACATCAAATTACATAACACTGTAATATACTGTCATATACCACCACTATAAAGTACACTCTCATTTAATTCATGTTTGTTTACTACTCACTCCACTGGCAGCTCTCAGTCAGGGGGGGGACTGCCCCTGTGAAAGCTCCAAGTGGCAGCACGCTCATTTGGAGAGCAGTTTTGTTTCGGTTTGTGTGTAGTAGAGTCGACGTTAACAGGCGCTTATTTGCATGTATCAGTCTATTTATCCCTCAGAAAAGCAAAAAAAGAGTCTGGTCCTAAAAAGCTAAACAAACGTTAGTATGAAACGTGCATGTGGTGGCTCTAAGCATGTATAGTTAACGCATGTCATTTACCACAGTGACATCTTCAGCAGCTTCTAACAGACTGTATCAAACAACTGATCAAACAAGTGTTCGTCAAATGAGTTGACAGATGAATCACAGGCATTTTATTTGCGCAGAACATCACCACACGAACCGGCTGATTCCAGTAAAAATCCTGACGAGCTAATCACAGAAACACGCTTGGCATGACTTGAACAGTAACTGTAAATTAGATTACTTTTGAAAAAATGTCAAGCCCTACCTCTCGATGTGCACATGGCAAACAACAGATAATATAAATGAATATAAGTAGAATCCTAATCAGCTGAATAAGTTTCTGAAAGTGTGCTGGAAAACTTCTTACAACGCAAGCAGAAAGAAGTGACCTCAAGCATGGACGATACTTGAAATAAGCAAAGGACACCACTTCAGCAATTCGGTCAGTATTGATCTCTGAGTTATGAGAAGCATCGTTTTCAGTATTTCTGCATAATTAAGTTGTTAAGATGCAACCAAAGTCATTCAGAGTGGCTTGAGGTGAAACACTCTGTTCTAGAGAAACATATCAGCTCAGAGTTGTTCGCAGTGGTGGTGATGGAAACCAGATATCTGATTCTAAAAGCTCACTCACAGAAAGTTATTACATTAAAATGTTTACAAACACACTGCTTGATGTATGAACATTGCTGGACAAAAGTTTTGTGATAGAGTTTTGGTCTAAAATGTAATTTTTTTAAAATCAAATTTAAATTCATGGCATAAAAAGGTGTTGTACTGCATAAATAGCTCCCAAAGAATAATATTTTTCTCTGATGTAGCCCTCTATTGCATAATGTTGCTTCAGGGCAACAAACTAATTTCCTTATTTTACAATGACATTATACATGTTTAAAGACAACAACAGGGTTAGCTACAAAGAAAAGAGTTTGAGTAGGTCAATAGTAAGTCTCAGTGTGCACATTTAAACCTCTTTTATAACATTAAGTATCCATTTTTTTGAGAATTTGCAGAAATACATTTGTTGCCTAGAAGCAACACTGTGTGACAGTGGAATGGATTTGGCCAGCCAGGTCTCCCACTTCCACTTCAGGGAAAACAACTCTAAACCATTTCTTCCCATTGTCGCACAATGTTACCCCAAGGCGGCAAACTCCAAAAGGACCCTTGCACACATTATTACTCATTTGTATAATATAATTTTTTTATTTAATAAACAGGTCCAAAAAAATAAATCAAGGCCCATTTTATGCAAAAAAAAGTCAACCGAATTTTTTTTTATAGCTCTCATAATGTATGCAGTAGAGGGTTAACACTATTTTATCGCTACCAACATTTTACGTAAAACTTCGGAGACGTGTAGGAATGTTCCCTTCACCACCACTACAAAGAAACCTGAGTCGACAAGATTCTCATCATTTCAAACCACTCTGAATGACCTCACCCACCACCTAAAAACTGAATTATGTAGAAATTTTGGTAAAAAACAAAAAAGTCGACTTTAATACTCCATTTCTGTAGTGTTTTCCTTTGGTACAGTCATGGTGTGCATGGTTAGGCTTATTTCCATGCTTTTATTATTTCACCACTCCATCACACCTGATCCGTCTAATCGGCTAATTAAGAAGCCCATCCTGAGTTGAAGTGGACCTGTGGAATGATGAAGCAGATACAAACAGGGCTTACGGGATTTGAGAGAGTGCCGCTAGGTGACCTTGGCCTCTGAGACAGACCGGTGCTGAACAGTGATGCGCAGTTTTCAGTGCTGGGCAGGTCACAGTCACTGTCCGAGTAGTCATCCATACTGTCAAAATCCTCCAGCATGACCTCGACGGGCAGCGGAGGGGGGCTGGCGGGGGGTTCTGGCCGTGACGTATTTCTATGTACTGGGTTAAAGGGTTCGTGTCTGTTTGAGTTGGAGCTCAGGTCAAGCCCTGCACCACAAGAGCTTTTCGCATTTGCAAAGTCCCTTTTCAGGCATTTCTTTGATGAGGATTTGAAAGTCACCACGTCCTCCTCCTCCTCCTGCTCCTCATCATCTTCCTCCTCCCGGTCATCCTTGCTGTCCCCGCTGTCAAACAGACTTGATTCGAAATGCAGGAATCCGTTGGGAATGGGTGAGAAGTGTTCCAGGCTGTCGGAGCTGACAGGGGAGAAGCCATTTTTGTCCAGGTCCTGGACGCTCCGGTATGGACCCTCATCTGCGCCATGGCCGTGGGGCAAAGGCGAGCGGACCAAACCCAGGCCAAACTCGGAGCCCACAACGTGTGCTCTGCTGCGCCCATGAAAGTCCTTGTCCTGCAGGCTCAAATCGGGCCTGTTGACCATGCTGGTCAGGTCCTGGAGCCTCCGGAGAGGGCTGTAGCTGGACGTGGACTCTCTCTGAGAGTAGAGCAGAGGCGAGGGTTTGTAGACGGAGTTCTGCAACCGCACGGAAGACGGCTGGTCCGCCTGCCGCTTCGCACCGCTGTGGTAGAGCCCACAGGTAGTGATGCGGCTATCATGGGCCTGCTGGTCCTGCGGGTCAGGAAGACACCCCGGGCCATCCCTGGCAGCCACTTTGTACGACTGATTCATGTTGTCATGGCTCCGTCCTGACGGAAACAAATACATATAAAAAGGAGTTAAATATATAACCATGCATTACAGCAACTACGATACATCAACTATTACTGGCACCTCTGCTTACATTTAATACTATTATAACACATAGAAAACACGGTACTGTGTAAAAGTTAAAGCCAGCCAAGAAAATGTGTTTAAAACTAATAAAAGCACAAAAAAGAATAAGTACAAAAAGCATAAATACAGTAAAAGTTTTTTTGTTTATTAAAAAGTTGGTAATGTTTTTTAGGGCATGATAGGTTTGGTTCCTGCACTCCAGCCGCTGTATGGATCTGTTAAGCTCCATTCGCAGCACACCTGATTTAATTTAATGTAGCACTGATTAGATAAAGGTAATGCACGACAGTGGGCTTCCTGAGTTGTTTACAGGTTTACTTCAGCTTTTTTAAGGATTAAGGATAAACACCCAGATAAACTGCTATATATATTATTTCTCAGAAGATCTTTGCATAGAAGTGTACTTGGTATATTACCCTTAACACTACTATTCTGACAGCACTGTCTAAACATACTGCCTTTCACTTTCCTATTACTCTGATATTGTCAGCAATAGCATATCAAACATTGTCTTGTCTTGTCTGTCCAGGACTACTTAACTGCTAAATTAAGTGCAGTAATCACTTAAATGTGTGTAACCTTAACACTTGTCTGCACACTGACCCGTCCTGCACATTTCCATTGTTGTGCAAGTCTTGTATGTTTATGTCAAAACAGTGCGACAGCTATTTGTTATGCTATTCCAGTATAACGACAATAAAGCTGAACTGAACTGGGAAAAAAAAACAAAAAAAAACAGACTACTCTTATCAAAGTTAGAGGACAAGGGATGTTGACTGAACCACCTATAGCACTGATGCAACCAGCTGAATTATGGTTAAGGTGATAAATTATGTCGCAACGTGCCACAACATGCGTCTCTAAGCACATCAAGCATATTATCTGTATTTAAACAACACTGACCAACTGCAAGTTTGACCACTAACTGAGCATCACTGGTCCTGTTTCATTGGATTTAGCCCAGTGCTGAACACAGATCATGCATTCATACTGTTTCTGATAGTATTTGTTATAGACGCACATCTACTTTCGTCTATTCCAACTTATCAGATGTCAGAAGAAAACAATACCGCGACGTTATCGTGTATCGTGATACTATATGTTTGCCATATTGCCCAGCTCTAGGCCAGGGGTGTCCGGCTCCGGGACTGGAGGGCCTTTCTCCAACACAGGCTGATGGCTTCCTTGCTCAAACACACCTGAATCAACTCAGCACTTGGTTACTCGTGTTTAACAGGCGTGCTTGAGCAAAGGAAACCACCGAAAAGTGTGCTGCACTCTCCGGCCTTCCTTCCCAGGACCAGCACTGGACACCCCTGAGGGAGGCCTAATGACACACACCAGCCAGGTAAACGGAACGCAGGTGATTATATGAAGCCAAACCCGCGCTGAAGACCAAATCCTGGCACTTGCAATGTCCACACGGTTCACCCTGGCCGGCTTACAGCCGTGCACATGTTGTTTTCGGGGCTGCCGGCTGTGAGCACCCTTGCTTAGGCCGTCATGTCAGGAAAGCCATCAGGGCAAGACAAAGACAGCTTCAAACCCCGGCACTCAGACACACACTCACTGAGGCTGTCGCCTTCTCCTTATCTTAGGCTGACCTTCTGATTGAAAGTGACCACAAAAAGGCAGGCAGGCCGGCCGTGTTGTTGTTGAGGTGTTCAAGGAGGCATAAGCGTGGACTAACAGCCAAGTATGTAGGGCTAGTTCACATGAGGCACGTTCACACGACACATACACACACATGCAGGAAAAAAAATAACAAGACAGGACAGATCGAGGAATTAAGCCCTGAAATGAACCAAAAACACACTGTAGTAGGAAAAGCGTGCCGGAATCTTACCAATCTTACCATTTACGGACAAACCCGTCGGCCATCCTCTCAGATTTGGACACGTCGAGCCACTTTTTTGTCGATTTGTGAAAGGCCAGCGGGAGATCTGTGCTTAGGCCGGGCCTCGGCACTCATCCTTCCCTTCTCTCACTGTCGCCTCGTCGCCAGAAAACGGCATTAATTCATTCGGCCCCCCTGAAAAACGAGCAGAATAAATAACACACTAACACGGCAGTGCACCGCCTCGCCTCCCACAAACTCATCTAGCTCTGTGCCAACGTCGGTGCATCCGAAGTGCGGGGAAACACTACACTGCTGGCTTCCCTGCTGCCCTAATCATGTTAAAGCAAGCCCTGGTGGCTGAGAGAGAGTGTGTATGTGTATGTGTGAGTGTGTGTGTGTGTGTGTGTGTGTGCTGGGAAGAGGGTATACACACAGAGAGAGAGAGAGAGAGAGCGAGAGAGCTAAGATACCCAACCCCCCCCCGTCCGTCTCTAAAGCCTATACACACATCAGGGCCACTTCGTTCGAATTTCCCCGTTCCACCTTAAACGTGCAGCAGTTCCATTCTGGCGCCTGAAGAGTCAGAACGTAACTGCTGCGCGTTTAAGGTGGACCGGCGAAATTCGAACGAGAAGCCGGCTTCGTGCACGAAATCCCCACTCAGCCACCCGTTTGCTCTCATTTACGTGCAGAAATGAGTGTCGTGTCGTGTCGGGGCTAGCCTTACCACTCACAAAAGCGACATTGAAGCGCGTTTGGGGTCTTAAATACGAAAGACTAGGCGTTTTTTCGAAGCCTCAATCGGCCATTTGTTTCCTCGTCCTAAACAAAGGCGTAGCTAACTTCCTCCATTTTACCCCGCCGCTGCCTTCGCGCGACCGGTGCCAGCCAACGGTCACAACGACCAGATATTTGTGGGGGGGAAAATGCTTATTTTAGTCACTTCTGCTCATCTTCGTAGTTCATTTGTCGTTAACGGTGGCTCTAACTACTAAACTAGGCCACGCTAACGTTATTAACGCAGCCCAATCTGTCCACAGGCGTTATCAGCCAAGGCTTATATGGTGGCCCTGACAACGACTGGCTTCTTTTTTCTGTGGTCGAGGCAAACGTTAGCTCGGGAAAACTGATTTATTCGAGGCGAGATTTCCTACTAAGTCTGTCTTTCTGTCCAGTCCAACTAGGCCTGGTGGTGTTTATAGCCGTTTCTGACCACGGTTAGTGAACAGGACACGAGAAAGTGGGTCCAAAGCAGAGAAAGGGAGAAGCCATGTTTTATTATTGTCGTCGTCCGGCCTCCTTTCTGAAACGTACACATCAAAAAAATGTCAATCCCTCAGCCTTTCTGATAACATCAGCGCCCTCACGGCACAGCAGTGGAGTTATAGTCGAATATAGGCTATTTCTCCGGTTAATAATTACCTTTTTTTGGATCTTTCCGCTGGTTGAGAGCAGATTTGCCCCAAACACGACTTGCTGGAGTGCTTGTAGAAATCATTCAGTCCTTCTCAGGGCTTTGCACTAAGAGGGAACTCCTCTGAGACAAGCATGTAAACACCTGGGTATTGATTCAGAACCATCCTCAGCTCTTACACTCTCAAAAGAAAGGATGGTTCTTTAAGGGTTCTTCAGTAAAAGACAGTGCATACAGAACCATGAACGCTCAAATAACTACTGGCATGCATAAATGGTTCTTCAGATTGATGGAGAACGCACTGTGTATGGTTTTATATACAACTTTTTTGAAAATTATACTATATAGCACTAAAAAGAGCTCTATTGTTCATAATGTCAAGCTCGCATCAATAGAAGAACCCTTTTTGGTGCTATATAGAACCATGAACAACACCTCTACCAATCTGAAGAACCATTGCACCATATGCACTGTATATGGCTCTATATTCGCTGCTGTTGGAACAAAACCTTGTATCTCCAAAATGGTAACTTTTACAGGAGAAGGAAAAATGTGCTTTTAATGTAAGTCAATGGAACCAGACCAGACACCCCCAAGTCATTTTTGTCCATTTCTTTTGGTCCATCCTTCATGAAATTTACACACAATATTAAGGCCAACATGCCTTTTCAAATTATGTCAAAAACTGAAAATCAGCAAAAATGGAGATGACAACAACAGCGATATACAACCTTTTTGAAAATGGTACTATATAGCACCAAAAAGAGTTCTATTGTTTATGATGTCAAGCTCGTAACAATAGAAGAACCCTTTTTGGTGCTATATAGAACCATATACAACACCCCTACCAATCTGAAGAACCACTGTGCCATGCAAAGTACTGTTTAAGTATGAAATGGTTCTATATAGAAATCATGGTTCTTGGACCATTTTAAGAGTGTAGGCTACACTGGAATTAACTCAAAGACATGACCACACTAATCAACCATGCTTTTTTCATGCAAGTGCCATTGCATTGGAGTGATACTTGTTTATTTTTTTTTTAGCAGACTGGGTGTAATTGCTCACAACACTAGTTTGTCCATTGGTTGAAAAACAAAACTGAACCAACATGGCATTGCAGATTCTGATCTTTTTTGTGGGGAGCAGAACACTATGGGTTATACTAGGCTACTGACTCACATTTACACGTACAAAAAAAGGTGTTAAAGCATTACATTAATGTTTTTTTCATTCGCCCCCCCCACCCCCAAATCCATCCCCTCCCCGCCCCTCGCCAAAATTTTTTACTCAGAAAAATGACTCAACACTCTATCTCGAAAAAGGGCATCACATTTTTCATAAATACAAAGGAAAAAAAAAAAAAAGAGATCTTACCAAGGACAATACAAGCATAGCACTTTCACATACACGTCGGGAAAAAGAAGGATAAATATGTCTGTGGTTATCGAGTTTAAAATCAGAGTGAAATCAGATGTGGCTACAGAACAGCAATGACCTCGTCCCAAGCGGTCACATTATCAAAAGTTAAAATAACAAAGATTTAAAAACAACACAAAAGCGTTTATTTTCTTGAGTGAGGACTATTGGTCGAAAGGTCTAACATAATCGGTTTAGATACTGTATTTGTATTTCACAAGACTACCATCATGCACATCTGTACAGTAGGTTAATAGAAGGTTTAAAGGAGCAATAAGCAGCAGGTGTTTTGTTTTGAGGTGAGGGGTTGCTTATCAGTCACGCTACTGACTCTCTGCCAGTCACACGTCATGACACAGGAACAGTAAGTAGAAAAGAAAGAAAGGTCCGCCATGAGCCTGCACTTGTAATCACAATATATATATAATTCCACACGTACTACTGTTATACTATTATGTAAGTTTCATATTTTATTCCATTTTAACAGGAAAGAAAATCTACTTATTGCTCCTTTAAGAGTGAAAGAGAATGGTAATGCTCTTTGGATATAGATACACAAAATGATCATAACGTAACACATAGTAAGTGTTATGCCTAGGTATCAAAATTCAATTATTATTATTATTTTTTTTCGTTTCACCCTCCCCTGCCTCACAAAAGTCTTGCCTCGTCGCGGACGTCGATTCGTCTCGATTTCGGACATGCGCTCCCTCGCGAATAAATAGAAAAGCTTGCTGTCACTCGCTAACGTTTTTGTCTTTGACGGCGGCCTCACACAGGCCCCGTTTCTGCATGAGGGAGTAAGGGAATGGCGCTCCGTTGCAGGCACTATGGTCCAGTTTGTTGAGCTTTGCCAATGTTTTGATGCTGCCCGGCGGCCTGCCAGGGCTGACCTTGTAGCCGGCGGCTCTGGTGGTGCCCAGAGGCCTTCCTGGGCTGGTTTTGAACCCGGCCGCCCTGGTGGTGCCCGGGGGTCTGCCGGTGCTCGTCCGATACCCGGCGGATTTGGTGGTGCCCGCAGGCCTACCTCGTCTTCCGGTCTTCCCGAGTCCTTTCTTTTTCTTGGATCCCTCCGGCACCTCCACGCCCCTCATCCTCACGGACTGGGGGTGAAAGTCGTTCTGGGCGTCCTGCAGCTGGCAGGACATGGGTTTGATCATGCTCTGCGGCAAGGGGGGCAGGTTGGGCAGCGGCAGCTGCAGAGGCGGAGGCGGGCCGGACGGGTAGAACTTGCTGGACTGCGAGGTGCATAACTCGAAATGACTGCTCGGGTGCTGGCCATCTTCGCCTAGGCCGCCCAAGCCGTAGTCGTTACTGTTGCCGGCTACCTGATGCATCATTTTCTGCGAGGGAAGAAGATACAAATGTGGAAGAAGATGTCAGACCAGACTGCACAGAACAGAACAATAACAAATACAACAACGTTCAACCATGTTGGGGAAACTGGTAAAGCTATACTATGCATTCTATATATTATACATTATATACAAGCTTTAAGGAAGGCCAACAGCCCCTGCTCCTCTGAGAGGGGCTTTACAGTAGATGTTGGAACACCGCTGTGAGGATTTGACTGCATTCAGCCACAAGAGCATCAGTGAGGTCAGGCACTGATGTTGGATGATTAGCTCTCGATCACTTCAACTCATCCCAAAGGTATTAGGCAGAGCTGCATCACTCCAGAGGCCTAGATTGTTTGTTTAATGCCTCTAAAAGCTCCTTCGCATAAAGCCATTATGCAATATGTTTACGAATATGATGCCTGATACATAAAACTCACTTAAAACTTATTTTAAAGAATCCATTCAGGGTGGAGAAGTGCATGCAGGGCACTGTAAGGCAAAATAGTCCTGAAAGAAAACAAATTTTTTTCAGGTTTACCACTGTTTCTCCCGTCATCAACATTACATATAACGCTTAGAAGAAACGTGGTACTTTTGGGTAGTAAATAAAATGGCAATTTTTGCGTTTTTCCTAGCCATCACCACCACTATAAAGAAATCTGAGAGGTTAAGTTTCTCTACAATGAACCATTTCATACCAAACCACTGAATGAATTTGTTTACATCTCAGTGGCTGAATTATGCAGACATTTGGTGAAAAAAAATCAGTGCAAATGGCTATTTTTAAAGGGTATTGCACTGATTTTTTCACCAAATGTCTGCAAATTTTCTAACTACAAGGGGCGTGTGGATGCTTTTGGATCAGTCAAGCATTCAGTGGTCAGATTCCATACATTAATCAGGATAATGAGTCAGGTCAGTTCAAGACATCAGTGCTTTGCATGCATATTCCGCACCAGCAACTCTCAGACTGGCACAAAGCTGAAGTTCGAGTTTTCCGTTCCACCTTAAATGGAATATGTAACTGCCGCACCATTTAAGGTGGAACGGCAAAATCAGAACAAGAGGCTGGCGAGTAGGAAGCCAACTTCAGCCTCGTCTGACTGGTGCTGTTGTTTTGCCTGGCTGGATGAGTAAAGCCGAGGGAAACGCTGAGTTTACGCAAATTCCCTACACAACGAACGTCACGGCACATTCATAAACAGGCAGAGCGGCACGGTAACGGTAACGGTAACTACACGGCGAGGCCAGCAGGCCCCGCGTTCAAACACGGACCTGCAGAAAACCGTACAAAGACAGACGAGGGTTTCCTACCCAGACGCGTCGGGGCGACTGTTTTTCTCCATCCGTACCTCCGTGCATAGGCTTTAACGCTTTTCTCCACCTCCACACGCCGACGGAGTGGAAACTGAGTCCGAAAGGCTCGGCTGCGAGGGGAAACGCGGCAGCGGAGGCGCGTTTGACGTTAGCGGCGGATAAAGACGGTACTGTACCTCATTTGTCCGCGGATCTCGGGCTGTGAAGGGTTAACTGCGAAACGCACACATCTCCCATCCCTGAACGCAGAGCACGGCTCTATTTATCGACCGCTGTCCCCGTCCGGGAGGATCTGCGGCCGCTCCCGGGCTGTGGATGGCAGCTGTGCTGGGCTGCTGAAGAGATTTCCTCTCCCGGAGCGATGAGGCTTAAATCTGTAGGGCAGCCATTTTCACTCAAATGTTTTTTCACAATATTGGAGGACGGAACAGTGCGCATGCGCGAAGGGGACTGAAGGAAATCACGCTGCTGCTCTCTTGTGTTTTCAGAACCAAAAAAAGCATGTTACATATTGTAAACAGCTTTATTCATATATACATATATAAATATATATATATATATATATATATATATATATATATATATATATATATATATATTACAGTGAATGCTGTAAACACACACATATGTGTGTATATGTAAATATATGTATGTGTTTACAGCATTTACTGTAATATATATATATATATATATATATATATATATATATATATATATATATATATAAAAGTATTTATAATACTCTTTTCTATACTATATACTGTACACCATACTTGGTTAGTACTGATTGAGGAAATCATTTTTTTCTGTTTAAAGGGGAATTCCACCAATTTTATACAAATGTTGCATAACTAAATGGTGAACAAGTGCAGAAGGTCATTCAGAGTGGTTTGGTGTGAAATGTCTTGTTCTAGAGAAACTTACTCAGATGGAATTGTTCACAGTGGGGCTGATAGGAACCAGATATATGAAGTGTTTTAACACCTCTACAACTTCAGGCATTGGCGCTTGGACAGAAAGTTACTGCATGAAATAGTTACAAATGCGCTATGTAATGCCTGAGGCGTTGCTTTACAATAATTGTGAAACATTCATGACTGAGGTCATTTTTTTTCAGATTTTATACTATTTAACAGTTTATGTTACACATAAAAACCCAGAAGATGTGCAGGTCAGCTGGTAAATAAAATGGCTGTGTTTGTGCTGTAGACACTTGTTTTCGACACTTCCTGTAGACATTACAAAGACGTGAGCAAAAAGACATGAACAGCAAACTGAGCAAAGAAGAAAACCTGTTTAATGAACACTTCATTACTATAGCCTACTTCACTGTAGGTTACATGCTCTTCAGGGAAAGGAAGAATAGACAGTTATTCTAAAATAATACGCTCCTCTGATTGTGTAATCTTTTGATCTAGTCTCTGCCTCTAATTTTAGGAGGTAACGGGAGGCCTAGTCTGTAACACAATGACGGAAGTGTTGCACTGTACAGTAGGGGGCCACACTGGGTCGGGGGTGTGTTCATACAGATCATCCACCTTAAGCTAAATGATGAAAACCTTGGACGTTCCTTGATTCCCATGTGCCAAGTGGTAATTATGAGTTCTGGTGGGTGATTATTTGCTTTTATGATAGATAAATAAATAAATTGTCTCACAAAGTTTCCTTAATCAGTCATGGTTATTACACTTGTAGAACCACGCAGCTGTAACTCAAGATAAAATCATGCCTTATAGATTGATAATAAAGCTGTCAAATCACATTTTAAGCACTGTGCTTGTAATAGAAGCCACTCATGGCACTGAATTCTCTATTATATACCTCAGTAAATCTTTAATTACGGGACTATAACATCAAAACCAAGCAGGTACCTCAAATCCTGCCATCTGCACTGGGCCTTTGGCTACATATGGCACAACTGAGACTTAAACTTAAACTTTTACTAAAGTTTTAAAATGCAGGGTGATTCAAAATGATTTATTTCACTTGTAAATCATTACAGAACAATGCAGTAAACTGTAAATGGTTTAAGTGCATAAAGTTTATTATGTAATTTTAGAAGTGCTCAGTATGAACCTCCTCCAGCTGTAAGGACAACATCAACGCCATAGTCAAACTCATCCCATACTCGATTGAGCGTGACGGGTGTCGCTGCACTCACGGCTCTTTCTCAGTTGGTGTGTGATTGGTTCCTAGGCGCCTCGCGGTTGTAAAAATATGGCGTTTTGAAATCGGATTAATCTTTTTGAATCACCTTGTGTGAAGTGGGATCATTAGGATTTGCTGAACAGGTAATTTTTCTGGAAAGTCGATGACAAAGTCTCACAGTGTAAGACAGATCTGCTGAATTTTTTAACCCTTTGGAAATAAATTGGTTTGATGTAATGAATTAATATTGTTTCAAAACCATCAGTACAGTCCAAATCTGGAAACTAACCTGAAGCAACATCTATCTCTCTCTCTCTCTCTCTCTCTCTCTCTATATATATATATATATATATATATATATATATATATATATATATATATATATGTGTGTATATGTATTGTGTGTATATATACATATATAGATATATATATGTTATGTGTGTATATATATATATATATATATATATATATATGTGTGTGTGTGTGTGTGTGTGTGTATACATATGACAGCATTTACTGTGATATTACACATAAATGTGTGTACATACATACATACGTACATACATACATACGTACATATACCACATGTAGCTGTGCGTTTTGAAACTTTAACCATTTCCACATACTACATCAAACTTATACTCCAAAAAATGAGGAAAGATCAGTTTTCCATGATGTAGGTCCTTGCATGATGAGTTGTTTTGATAATTTGTTTTGGTTTAATACCAGAGAAAGAGTTGCATCTGATTAGGATCATTTATGCTGGGTTAGATTTACACAGATTTGTTCAGGGACCTCCTATTATCAGGAAGCTCCTCCCCTTTACCTAACGCAGCAAGTTCACACACACACACACACACACACACACACACACACACACACACACACGCATGCACGTACACAGGCCTCCTCCAGCACCAGGGGTGTGTTCAAGCACACTGCCATCAAACTCAGTTCAGTGTTGTGTGCACTGGATAACAAATCTTTTTTCATGTCTATATATAAAGAATATAAATACATATAACTATGTATATAATAATAATAATAATAATAATAATGGTGTACTAATAGTGGAATATTGGACTTGTGGTAGAAGTTTTGCTCTGGAATCAGCACCTAATTGTGATGCATATACAAAATTGTATATACAAAAATCATAATTTACTTGTTCTCAAGTATATTAATGAGTGAAATAATCTCCTGTTCACTATTCAAATTTAGTGACTTATTCCTTTTTTGTTTGTTTAATTTCATTATGCTTTGTTGGTGACCGCATCTGTACTGCTTTGAAATTGGTCACATCTGTGACTTTGGAGTATTTTTATTTGGAGCAAAAGAATACAGCGTTCAGAGTTCAGTTCCCACACTGACAGGCGCTGGATTTACTAAGACGCTCCACTGCAGTTCTGTAAGTTAGGTAAGTATATTTTTTGACCCAATACTTTTGTACTTTTTTATAAAGTTGTTTTTCTGCTAAGGTACTTTTACTTGAGTCATTAATTTACCCAAGAATTCATACTTTTACTTAAGTATGTGTTTAAGCTACTTTACCCACCTCTGTAAATTACAGAGCCCCGCTGGTGACATCCTGTATAAATAAAAATAATGCGTGGCCACGCCTTATTAATGCGTGGGAATGAGATCCTAATGCATGGCCACGACTTAGTAAGGCGTGGGAATGAGATCACGGCTTACTTAGTCGTAGCCACGCATTAGGATCTCGTTCCCACGCTTTACTAAGTCGTGGCCACGACTTAATCATCTCATTCTCACACCTTTCTAAGTCGTGGCCACAACTTAATCATCTCATTCCCACGCCTTACTAAGTCATGGCCACGCATTAGGATCTCGTTCCCACGCATTAATAAGGCGTGGCCACGCATTATTTTTATTTATACAGGATGCTACTTTACCCACCTCTGTAAATTATGGAGCCCTGCTGGTGACATCCTGTGTAAATAAAAATAACGCGTGGGAACGAGATCCCAATGCGTGGCCACGACTTAGTAATGCGTGGGAATGAGATGATTAAGTCGTGACCATGACTTAGTAATGTGTATGTACGCCTTACTACGTGGTGGCCACGCATTAGGATCTCGTTCCCACGCTTTACTAAGTCGTGGCCACGACTTAATCATCTCATTCCCACGCCTCACTAAGTCGTGGCCACGCATTATTTTAATTTATACAGGATGTCACCAGCGGGGCTCCGTAGCAAATAACGCACAACGATGCGGAACGTTTCGCACAGTGAACGCAGCCCACATTCCTCTCCGGCTGGCAGAGAGCTGAGCAGCCTGAGCAGCCCGAGCAGCAGGCCCAGTCCTGCCTTCACTTGTACCTTCACAGCTACAGTAATTCAACTCGTAGCATTTCGCAACGTTTAAATCAGTGTTTTTTGGCGTTCAGCTGCATTTCTGAGCGGATCCGCTGCTCTAGAGTCTGTATTTTGGGCCCAGATACCCAGTTGAAGCGAGTAAGGTAACCCCTCTGGGTTTCCACGCTTTCTACATTAATATTTTTAATATTATTGCTCCTTTTTGCAGCGCAGCTGACGGCATGGAGGACAAGGTGTTCACCAAAGAGCTGGATCAGTGGATCGAGCAGCTGAACGAGTGCAAGCAGCTCTCGGAAAACCAAGTGAAAATCCTATGCGAGAAAGTAAGTAACCTTCATTTTTCTCTTAATTGCTTTTCTAGAAATATTCCTTCTACCGTAAAACCCGCGTTTGTGTTGCACATTTGCCAGCGCTTTCTCTAAAAAGGCGCAAATCTGAATCGATTTATTCGAAAACACTGCCGCAGTTGCAACTGGCGGCGGCGATTTCTGTTTCCATTGGCTGCCGGTCCACCGGTGACCCTCTCTGTTAGCTGCGATGGCTCTCCTCATTGGCTACCGCCCCACCGTAGACGCACGCCATTGGCTCTTGCCAGCGCGGTGCGGTTAGCAACCGCAGCTCGTCCTACTTTCAGCGCTGCTCGTTGTCAGGCAGATATTTTGGTATTTTGTGGAAACAGAAAGGGATAAAAATCGTAGCTTGGCGTTTTTGTGCACAATATAAAATATATACACATGGTGTTTGCAACAGTACGGGGTTAGAATGAGGGTCTGGAGTTGGAGTTTGTACTGAAACGGGGCTCAGTAAGACTGAAACAGGGCGGAAAAAGAGACCTGGTTTGTACAGTAACATTACAGCCCGGTTTGCCTACTGCTTATTAAAGAGGATTTCCACTGTTTTAAAACACATTCTGAATAATTCAGTGGCCGAGATGTAAACAAAGTACGGAAAAAAT